TATTCTTTTTTTTTCTTTCTCATATAGTAATTAGGTCTTGGATGTCTTTGATTCACTCTCACATCATTACTACCATGCCATTCAATTTATCTCTGGTAACATTAATAGGAGGTGGTGGAAACGTGGGAACAGTTGTATTTGCTACAATTTCTGAAGACATCCAAAAAAAAAAAATTATAAAAATAAATTATAAAAATAAAATTTATAAAAGTAATAACATTTTTTTATTTTTTATTTTTTTTAAAAATCTTAATTTTAAATGGATTTAATTTTTGTCATTTTATTACATATTATTACGTAATTATGCTGTATTATTTTTTTACATATTGTTTCACATTATATATATCTTATTTCATATTTCATGTACATTTCATAGAGATTGTGGGAGGGAATATAATACGATATTTGTTCGATTTTAAACGAGATTATTTTACGATCGTTCATATATATAATATACGCATGCGAATTTAAACGAAGTTTCGATTTTCGAGGAATAGATCATTAATCAATTCCCCTTCGGTTGGGTTATAAAAATGATAATCGAATTCGGCATAATTTGGGAATTGGGATTCTAAATTATTATTTGGAATCAAGTTAATTTCTTCCTCTTGGTCATCGATTTCTTCATCATTATCGTCTTTATCATCATCTGTATTAACTCCCCTACCGACTCGAGAAGGACCTTGAGGACCTTCATAGCTTTGTATTCTAAAATGGGTTCTTCTATATTCTTCTAGAGCATTACGATAAGACTCTTTTATAGTCTCGATTAATTGTGTATCCGTTTTACTGAGATCTTTCCAAATTTTTTTTGAAATCTTAGAGATATCCTGACGTTTTAACTTTAAATTGAGAATGTTGAAACATTCTTGCATACTTTTTCTATGTAATATAAAGGCCGTAGCCGGTTTTTTATCATTTTCCGTGGATTCCATACCAGCTATATTATATTTCACGTGTTGAGTGCCATAACCATCATAATACAAAACATAATAATCACGCGCATCGTCGTTACGAACGAAAATAATATGGCCACGACCAACTGGTATACTAGATAAGTGTGTCATTATTTATTTTTATATGTACGCTATGTATGCGAATTAAATGTGAATTGTATATATGCGAATTATACGAATTCCATACGAAATGATGAAATTAATTTCATTAATTGTTTATAAAAACGAAAGATTAATTGAACAGTGGAACGAATGAATTGTAAACAAATTTATAGGTGATATTTATTGGAAAGAAAAGTGAAGCTGATGAAGCGTACTCAAAATAAAAATTTTTTTCACCTCTTTAAATACTTTTTTTTTTTTTTTTTTTTTGACTACCTTTAAAGTGAATAATGATTAAATGGCATACTGCGTTAATAGTTTTGATGAGCTTAATAGGTTTAATGAATATTTTTAATGAATGTTTAATGAGTTTAATGAGTCTCATGGGTTTTTAATGATATAAATTACGTCAAAAGCTTCTTGACAATTTTCCATGTTCAAGAGATCAAAGATTTTAATTCTTTTTAAAACATCATAATGAAACATATTGAATTGTAATGACAAATAAACAAATACAATAAACAAAAGAAAATAGAAGAAAAATAATTTTCTGTGTCCAATTTTGTTCATGAGGATATAAACAATCATTGTTGCTTAAGAAAAATATTGTATATGATTCATTATGTTTCATATATATATATATATATATATATATATAATATGTGTGTATTTAAATCATATATTAAGTCCGATTGAAGATTAGTAATAGATTCATAAGACATCTAAACACATTTTTCTTTGACGGTTAAAGAAATTTGGTATTCCATATAAAAATTATTATAATAATAATAATTTGTAATAATAATTAAACAATAAAATATTTATTGATGAAAGTGATGAAAGTAAATGAAAATTCTTATTTTTTTTTTGAGTATCCTAATGGATATTTTGAGCAATTTTTTTACAAATCGTATAAACTTTTTTTTTTATGAATCATTTTTTATAGTCTTTTAATCTATTTATTAATTTTCGATAAACAAATAAGAATTTCAATAACGAATTTATTAATTGTGGCTTTTAAAAGAATTTAGGAAGAGATTTCTTTTTTAGGAAAATAATATAGGGATATAAATAATGGTTGATCACCTTTTGAATTGAATGATTGATTTAAGGCTAGGCTAGTTAACTCCGATTAAATAAAATCTTAAAACTTTAAAAAAATTCGAGAAAAAATATTTCACACATGACATGATGGAACAATATTGTTTTCGGAGATATTTTCCGCAACACCACCACAATTCTTCAAAAAAATTGATGGCGTTAGAATGTGTTCAAGCCACAATTTTTAACAATCCAGGGTACAATCTAGGGTCATAGTCCAGGATCATTGTTTCAGGTAATCCTTTCATTTATCTATTATAGTAATTATATTTTCTACTTATTATATATTTCTAGAATACTAAAATAGTTACCCATGTGGTTTATAATATTATTGTAATGGAAACTACTCCCAAGATTCATTTCGCACATAACTTTAATCAGATAAAAAAAAATATATTATTAATCTTTTTGTTAATATCTTATAAACTACTCCCAAGATTCATTACACACTTTAATCAGATAAAAAATATATTTAATCTTTTTTGTTAATATTTTATTAAAATTCTTTTTTTGTTTTTTTTTTTTTTTTAAAAAAAAAAAATTATTAATATTCATAAAATAAAAATCAAAGAATAAGATCAATATGTGGTCGACTTTTTTTTTAATAAATCTATACATATTCTTAAATTCATAATATTCATAAATTCATAATATTTATGTTGCATATTTCATATTCATAAATAAATCTTAACATTAATCTTAATTTTGATTTATTAAAAATAAGTCGAAGTATAATTCCCCTTCTTCTTGGGGGGATAGATTTGAAGGTATATTTATAGGGTTTATAGAATTTATACCTTCTTTTTCGATTGAATGTGAAGAAAAAGAAGAGGAGGAAGAAGAGGAAGATGATGATGATGATGGGGATGATGAGTTTTTGATCTTTTTTGTTGATTGCTTTGGAGTTTTGGCTTCAAAACTCCCAAAACTCTCGATTTTAATGTCAAATTTAATTTCGGTGTTGTACTTAATCAGGGCTGAAGAACAACACCTTTGTAAATATATTTTTAAACCAACGTCCCACATTGAAATATTATCCCAGAATTCTTTAATTATTGCCGAGAGCCCCGCGCGTTCAATTCTTAAATTTAGCAAACGAACGCAGCTCTGTATGCCGGCGCGGTAAAGAATAAAACAGGAAACTGGCTTATTCTCATTTTTCCCTAAGCTCAAGGCAAAATCTACTGAAGGAATGAAATATTCTTCAAGTCGGCAGAAGGGCTGGTAATAATTATTATAATAACCGACATAATATCTATTGTGCAGGACGTCCCGAGTAAAACAAAGAAAGGATTCTTCAGGAGTGTCCATTTTCACCCTAGAAATAATAATGAACGTATCGGGTAAGAAAGGGATCTCCTGATAAGATGAAGGGTATTGGCTGCAAATGTTTTCCATCCCGGCGTTATTTGGTAAAAAGGAAATAGGCGAGATGAGTAAAATTTACTCAAAAAGATAAAGGAAATAAAAATAAAAAAGGAATAAAAAAAAAAGAAAGTAACAATATCAATATCCCTTTTTTGAAGTTTTACTGAATTAAAAAAAAAAGAGCGAAGAATTCTTATCCTTTATATAAAAAATTTGAGAACAAAATCCTATTTATTTTTCTTTAATAAATACATCAGGAATTCTCGTGACGGGATCAAAGGAAGAGGAATGAAGGAAATATGTGGTAAATAATAATAATATGGGATAATATATATTAAAATAATATGTGATTACGTATACAAAAGCAATAATATGTTGTAACTACAGTAAATGATTGAGATATTGAAAAACATTTTTGTTTCATAAAGTAAAAAATAAATGAAGAAAACAAAAAAAAAACAAAAAAAAAGGGACAAAGAACAAAAGAAGAAGAAAACCGGAATTCTTTTTTAAATTAAAAGTGTTAATCATTGGCTAAACGAAAATATCTAAATCTCTGTGTCTTGTATTATAAAAAGAAATGTATAAATTAGATCTGTAAGTGAATAAATAAATAAATAAATATTTATTTTATATTTATTTACTTTATATTTATATATATTTATATAATTTACAGATAATTGCCATAAAGTGAAAGTGATACGTTCTAAAAATTTTGCTTAATAATTTCCATAATTTCATGGAATAATAAGTAAATTCTTATCTTATCATCATTATTATCATCAGACATAAACAAAACTTGGATAAATATAATATATTCAATAAACTCAATGATTGATGAATTACTTAAATCACGTTGATAAGATAGAAATAACATGATCTTTGGTCTGATTAACTTTTAATTGTTAACTTTCAACTATTAACTTTTTTGAATTTTAAACTTTAATCATTGATTTGATTTAATTATTAATCATTAAATCTACTTTTATTTTGTTTCTTCTTTGATGTAATAATAATAAGAATAATGATATCATAGCAACACAGATAATCATAATAATAATAATTACACATAAAATCGCATTCAAAAAGTTTATTCATGAAAGTATCTTCTTTTTTTTTTGTTTCCAAGGATTGCGGAGACCGATGGAATGACAGAAAAACTGACCGACTAATCATTATCCTTATTATCATTCATTAAAGGCGACACACACTAAAGCACGTAATCATATAAGCATGTATAAGATCGTATGAAAAATAAATAAAGATTATATAATAGGTAACGAATTATCTAATATTTATGGTAAAACAATTTTATGTTAAATGAAATATTTATTTATTTTACCTCTTCTTCTTTTATTGTTATTGTTATTGTTTTGTGCAGAGGAGTTGAAAGATTACGCCATAACTATATATATTTTCATATATTTTCAAAATGCGTGGATTTTGTAATCATCCAATGTAAAATTGAATGAATTTATTTCTATTTTGTAAAAATAACAATTAAAATTTGTTATTTCATTATTTCCCCCTTAAAAAAAAAAAAATAAAATAAAATATCTCGGCAAACAGCACAATACACATACACAACAGGTGTTTATGTTAATAAATTTTTTACCACATTCATTCGTATTATTTTTGCTTTTTCTAAAAAATATAGTTAATATAGATTTATACCTTTGTAAAAGTTTTGAGGCGTTACTGGATTTCATTTTGTCTTTTGATAGATACCTATTTTGGAATTTAATGTTTGAACATTTTTTAAAGGGAACTTCTGCGTGTAAAAAAAAATTACAAAATTTAATAACTTTGATAAAAAAAAAATCGTTGTCAAACACCATTATTAAAATTCCCTAATTAGAAAGTTGAAAAAAGAAACCTTAAATAAAAATATAAATGATGAATGAATGAAACTTTTAGATCAACCAAACAGAAAATAAAAATGAGATGCTAGGTAATTCTTTTTTTTTATATTTTTTTTTTCATATTTACGCGTTGTGTTATCATTTATACAGTATATGTTTATTGTAAATTTTTACTTTATTATTTATATAGTATATTATTTATGTAGGACAAGGTATATCACACTAATTAGGGATAGGAATATGCGATACAAACAAAAGTTATATCTGGTAACACAAGGTAGATTCGTGCATATTTATTTAGATCAGCAGCGCCTCTTATCCTTATCCCTTTATTAGAAATATATATAATATGTCTACGCAACTTGTATATTTTTGAGTATTACTTTATTTGTTTAAATAATGAAGTTACTCCTTTTTTGTAATTCTATGATTTTTCCGTGAAGATTTGTTGTTACAATTAATTAAAAAAAAAAATATTATTTTTATATAAACATCTCTTAAATAGATATCAAAATTATTGAAATTTATTTGTTATTAAAAATCATTAAAATTGACAACAAAAAGGCAAATTATTAAAATTGACAAAAAAGAAAATTATTAAAATTGACAAATTGACAACAAAAAGGCAAATTATTAAAATTGACAACAAAAGATAAATCATTTAGTTAAATTTTTTATTTTGGGTATTGATAAAGCTCACTGGTGGTGAATGGCAAAATTACATATCAACCCCCTAACTTTTGCCTCATAAATTTAATTTTGCCCAGTGGTGATAATCACCACCAGTGATCTTAAGCAATTTTTCTTTTATTTCATTTTTTATTATTTCATTTTTTATTATTTATATTATTGGTTATTTATGTTATTAAAATTATCATAAAAACTTTAATTAACATCAAGTTTACAGATTATTAATTATATTTAATTATTTTAATTAATTCATTTATTTATCTTTTTTACTCTCAATTACTTGTCCATTAATATTCTCATTATTATTCTTATCTACTTTTTCATCTTCATCATTAGCTACTTGACCATACTCATTTGCTCTTTTATCATCAACAGGATAAATCCATCGTTGATATAAATATACAAAAAATACCACATCATCTCTTAAACAAGCTAATCGATGTAATGTTGGCATTTTAATACAGAAAGCAAAAAGATCATCTACAAATGTACCAAGTGTCTTATACATTAAAGTTTTCCATGGCATATGTGCGATCTATAAAATTATTATTCAAATTAGTTAAATTTATAAATCATAATAAATAATAATAATAATAATAATAATAATCATAATAATAATAATAATAATAAAATAAATTCTTACACTTTTAAGTTTATAATTGATAAATAATTGTGGTGTCATCATAATAAATCCAAAAGCATATACAAAACCCACCAAAGTGGTTAATATAAAAGAATACCAACTCTTGTATGTATTATATATAAGACTATAAATGGAATAACAAAATAATAAAGGATAAGCTATCAATGATAAATAACGGAATGCGAGTTGATCATATTCTTTGGTTTTTTTCTCTGTTTCTGATAATTTATGTTTATCAACAAATTTTATTGTATAAGGGAAAAAACTTGTTGTATCTTGATTAGATTTTATCTATTATAAATAAATTAAAATATTATTATTATAATATTTCTATATATAATTAATTAATTGATTGATTGATAATATATCTATATATAATTAATTGATTGATTGATAAATAATAATTTACCTCAACGTCTACAGCTTTTTTTATTTTCCATATTTCAACTGCAACCGAAATTCCTTGACCAATTAAAATCATCCAACTAGTTTCTTGATTATTATCCATTAAATATAAAAATATTACAACTTGGAAAAATATATTTAAAAGAATAGATCTGACTGATACTCCTGTCATTTCTTTCTTATCTTTCCAATGTGTAATATCTGTTTATAAAATTAATTATACATATATATTAAATAAATAATTTTATAAATTAATAAATATATTAATAAATAAATATATAATATAAATTAAATAAATATATATTAATAAATACCATTTTTAAAAGCCAAAAATTCAAATACACTGTGTAAAATAGAAACAATAAATGTGACTGCTAATAAAATAGGATTTGTCTCTTTTAACATTCTTTTGACTTCCTCAAGACTATCAACTGCCTCTGCACCTAAAACTTGTGCTTGCATTCGAGCAGATTCATCTAATTGAATATATAATTGTAATTTCATAAAAGACAAAGGATAATATTTTATATTTAATGGCAATGTCCTATATTTATTATGAATATAATTAATAAATATAAAACATAATTAATAAACTTTAAACATATAATTAATAAATATAAATGTAACCATAATCATAATTATAGAGAGATATATATAAAAAATAAAAATAACTTACTTTACAGTTTCATTTATGGGATTCAAGTGATCTTTAAGAATCCAAAAATCATTAACAAATAAAATAGGTAAATAATATCCATTCTGTGTATTTGGATCTATTGGTCTGTTAGGATCCAACTGAATTACTATAAAATTCAATAATAATTTATTATTTATTAATAAATATTTATAATCATTTATAATAATTCATATTAATTAATTATTAATTATTAATTATTATAAAATTAGATATATAGAAATATGAAAATACCTGAAGAAATGTATGGTGGTAATGTGTTATATGGAATAATAGAATTATCAGAAATTAAATTGAGTGTTAAATTTTGACACCAATATGATACAATGGAATTTTTAGAATCTTTTTCATCTCGGGTCTAAATATATGAATAAAAAAAAATAAATTAAATAATTAATTAAAATAATTAATTATTTAATTATTTCAATATGTGTTTTCCTTTTTTACGTCACAATTTTTTATTATTATTCTTACCTCCTTTGATTTATTTTCAGTATCTTCAGTATCTTCAGTCTCGTCATTTCCGAGAATTAGATTTTTTGTCTTTACCAACTTTTGTTTGGGATGATATCTAGTTAATACTATAAAATTAGATTAATTATTATATATAAAAAAAAATAATGATATATAAAATAATGTATAAAATAAATATAATATATAACATATATATAAAAGAATATTTACATTTGCGTGTATAAACAACCATATCATCTCGATATCTTGGATCATAAGGATTTGGACTTGCTTTGTCAAGACTGAGATACATATGCGCATATAATGAACCATTATTTTGCACATTCTAAAGAAAAATTAAAGAAAATTATAAAAATTATAAAAAAACAAAAAAAAAAAATAATAAAATTATAAATTATAAATATTTTATTTTACCAGGGAGGTCTCGATTTCTAATTCACTTTCTCTTTCATCATCCCAACTTCCAAGTTTTATATTTGGTGCATACCATATAAGAGCTGAATTATCATCAAACCTTGTGAAATGCTCTTCCTCTGAAATATATAACCGTAAATCCTGTTTTTATAATTATATATATAATAATAACATTTATAAATTATTATTATTATTTATATTTATTATTTATATCGCTATTAAATATATTTAAATACCATATTCGATCCAGTTTTCCATGAGGGATAAACTTGTTTCGGTCGAATATTATTATTATGACCAGTTTGTGGAATATTATCTGTATTTATAATGGGTGGTGGTGTTGTTGGAGTATCTCGACCTAAATATAATTAATGCAATTTAATTATTTGTGAATTTTTTTACGTTCCATTCGGTAACTGAAATATACAAAAATATATTAAACCTCTAAAAAAAAGACCAATAACCCAATACACGAGGAATGCTCTTATCACTATTACAATAACTGATTTGAACGTTATTTCTTGTTGACCATCTTGTGGTGGCTGTGGTTGCTGTGGTTGTTGCGATGGTGGTGGTTGTTGTTTTTCTGCTTTCGTTGTCGTTATCTCTTGACTAGAAATTATTCTTTCATTACTATCATTTTGATTCTGTGAACTACTGGAATTCTCCCTTTGAGGTTCGACCTTTGATGATGGCATTTTAAGATTGTAATTCTCGAAAGAAGATTTTTAATAATCTGGTCACGTGTAATTAGTTTCAATATAAATGACGTCTCAAATACGTCACGAGAACAATTACGTCACAAGAACGAAAAAGCGAAATTATAAAATTGTTTCGATAATAATAATCAAATTATGAAAATATTAAGATATATAACCCTTAAGAAAATTCTAAAAAAAAAAATGACTACGATACCACGAGGAGAAAATAATGATTTGCCAAAAAAAAAACCGATCCACAGGCGGATTTGAATTAATAAAAAAAAAAATTTGTCATCGTTATATTATTATTAGCAATTTCAATAATTTTTTAATAATTAATTGTTAGCGAACGCTCCTCCAATTCCTTAGTCACTTGAAAATTTTCATGAAATACCAGAATATGTACTCAAAAGTGAAGGAATTAAAGAGGAAACTGAAAACGAACATCTTGCCCAATTAAAGAAATTGGAAAACGATAAAGCTCGAGAAGAAAGTGAACTCGGAATTGGTCACGTCGTAAAACTTTGGCTCCTACCGTTGGTAAATTATCAAAATTATCATTATAATAATTGATTTGTTGTACACGTATGTATGAATTTTAATGAAATTTTTTTTTATTAGAATCAGCAGTAAATCGTTATGCCAAGGTAATTGGCTTGAAAATCCGTCAAAACTTTTATCAAATATTGAACCTGCACAAAAGATATGGATCAAAAACAATTACTTGGATAATTAACCGATGAATTAAGAACTAGGCAACGAATTGAAAACGAAGAAATGGGAAAAATTGTTAAAGGTGGTCCAGCTGCAAATGTTCAATCTACTGTAAGTAAATTAGGTAATGTAGAAAGAGAAGAAGAAGCTCTAAAAGCTGAACAAGCATCTGGATTTGTTGAAACTGAATTATCTGAATAATCTAAGTTTGTATATATATGAAAGAGTAAATTAAAAATAATTAAATAATTACAATTGTAAATGTATTACTTTTTGTAAAACGCAAAATAAAAAGAAATAAACTCATAAACCGTAAATTCAATCATTGCAGATAATATTTTATTTGAAGTAATAAAATCATGAGTTACAACCTTCAGAATATATTTAGAAGAATGTTCGTTTTTTTTTATTATTCACAATTTAATTTTACAAAAAGCAAAAAAAAAAAAAAAAAACTTTTTTTTTGTCAACATTTGATATACATAAATTTTAAATTACAATTTTTAATTAATTTTACAAGTTCTAGAAAAATAATAAATTTAAACATTTATACTGAAGCTGAAGTATTTATTTGCTTTAGATGCTCCATCGAACATGCAAAATCTAATGTTTTTGTACTGCGATATTTTTTAGGGTTTTTGCAACCAGATATCGAACACAACGGAACAGGCGGTGGATATCTGAAAATATACATATATATATATATATATAAAATAAATATAAATAAATAATACGTTAATGTAATATTAAAAAATATAATTATTTCTTACTTTGGTCCTTTTTCAAATTTTATTGGCATACTTATACCCTCAGGTATGGATAATGAACAACCTTGCACATCCTGAACATAATGATATACGTAAGATGGTAAATTCATACTTGAACCATTCTCATGATTATGAACACTGTCAGTATCATCTTGATCTTTTGATCGTTTCTTTGATGCTTGTTTTTTCAATAGTCGATTTATCGTATCCATCTAAATTATGTTTAAAATTGTTAAAATTACGCGTGATTTGAGAAATAAATATCAATAAATATAAAATATAATATAATATAGTATAATATAATATAATATAACCTTATCCTGTTCAGCACGTTGTATACTCTGATGCTTTCTGCGTCGTGCTATCTCTGACTTTTTGAGTTGAATCTCTTCTTCCGTTAATTGTTTTTTCTTCATTGGTTCTAATTAAAGAAAATCAAAATGAAAATTTAATATAATGATTCTTTTAATAAAACAATTAAAATGACTAAAATTTATACTGAAACTTATTTACCCATTGGAAGTTGAAGTAAATCTTGTTCATAATTTTCATTGAGCTTAGCTCTTTGTCTCTTAGTAAGAATACGACCTGATGTAGAGGATGAAGATTCCATCGTACTGTGAGAACAAAAAAAAAATAATAATAATAGAAATGTCAATATATTTATTGTGAAATTTACAACAATAAATAAATTTTTTGTCATGATGAAAGACAATAAATTACTCACCTCGCTATTTGTTAAAAAAAATAAATAAATAAAAAATAATTATTAATTAAGATAATAATAAAAAAAAAAGTAAAATAAAATAAAATAAAATATAAAATTATAAATACTAAATAATATCTACCTCTCTTTCTTGAGGCACCAGCTTGAGGTGGAGGTTCATCTTTTTGTTGCTTTTGCTTTGACCTTGAAGATTGTTTCAATTGAGTTGTTTGTATTGTGATCCTACTACCTCTTGTTCTTCGTGCTGGAATTACTTCTTCATAATCACTTTGTTCATCTTCTTCGTCTTCAATCTCTTCCTCTTCTTCCTCTTCTTCTTCTTCATCAAAATCATCGTCGTCTAAAGGTGTTGCGTCCGCATCGTCAATTTCTTCTATGTCAACCTCCTCAAGTTCATCTAGTTCTTCTGGTTCCTCTATTTCGTCTGGTTCCTCCAGTTCTTGGTCCATTTCAAGTTCTTCTTCCTCTTCCTCTTGTAATAAATCATCTAAACCATCCATTTCATCTTCACTTTGATAAGCTTCCTTATTTATTTCTTCTTCCATATATTCATCAGAATCTTGTTCACTGGCTTCAAAACTCGGACTCGGTTCATAAACTTTTTGTTGAGAGTAAAAAGAGTTAGACCTTCTGTTATTAGTTCTTGATGACCTCATTTTGTGGTGTTTTGAGATATATATATATATATGTTATTTTTCCGAGAACAAATGTAATGTTTTGTTTTTAAAAAATTACTAACTTATGATTGAAAACTTTATTCTTTAATAGGAAGTCACAGCTGTTGATTGGCTGATAAGGGTGTATTGTTATACTAAAAAGATTATTATTGAAACGAGGCACAGAAAATTTTTTTTCAGTGTCTTCGCAGCAACTTCTATTTCTTTAGATCAATTTCTGAAACCTTACACAAAATCTCTTTTCCATACTTTTTTGCCTGATACCTTTTTTTCTATGTTTAGTTTTGGGCTCTTGTTTGTGAACCTTCTTTATTGCGTGGTGTCAAACAAATAAACTTATTATCTCTTCAACAAAAACTGTGAAAAGGCTGAAGTTTATATCATAGCGCATATAATGAATTAGTTTTAAACCATTCAAAAATCAATTATTTTATTATTGTCTGTGGTAAGATATGAAACTTTTAAAAGATGATATGAAAAGTAACAGATTTATGAAGGATGAATTTTGGCAAGAAATATACAAGAATAATAAAAATAATAAATAAGATAGAATTAAAATTAGAATTTCAAATTTAGTAATAGGAATATTTCTCAAACCAAGTCATACTTTAATAATAAATATGAAGACATGCCTTGGGTCAACTGGAGATTGTTGATGTTGGAAATGCCAATGTCATCTTTCACTGATGGAAAATTCAAGGATTTATATGTTATGTTGAAGTAAGTGGATTTTAAGTGAGATAAATATAAATAAATATTATATTATTAATTAGATAGTTAGAAATAAATAATAAACTACTTTAACAATATGTTAACACAAATCTATGATATTTTTTGTTTGGTTCATTGCATTTAACTTGTAAAAAAAAAAAATAAACTTGCTTGGTCAAGAATTTCTATTTATCATAGTAAGTAGATGATCCAAATATACTTAAAGATTTATTGTATTGACTTATTTTTTTTTAGTTTGTGTCCTTGAATAATTTGTTTTATAGTCATAATAAAATTAATAGGAATACATTACATTCATATATATTTTAATTAATTACAAAATGGAATTCTTTTTAATGTTTTTTTTTTATTTGACATGTATATTTTCTATAAACAATTATAATTATTATATAATAAATGATGAAATTGTCATTTATTTTAAAAGTTATTAATAAAATTATAACAAATAGAAATTCATATATTAAATCAATATAATATAAAGACATTGATAATTACATAATTCTCAAGATAGTATTTTCTTTTTTTTAATTATAAATAATTATACATAATCATAATTTATATATTATATATATCTGTAAACATAAATAAATAATACTTTACCAATAATCAATTATCCATTATCCACTTAACATAAGAAATAGTACCAAAATCTCCTTTTTCTAACTGTTTAATCTTTTTATTACTTTCTTCTGATTATCTATCTACTGTATTATTTCCACATCCATCAAAATCATTTTTGAGAACATTTTGATTAAAATCAAAATATTCATCTCATTATACACGAAAATATTAATATATGAAATTGATACTGATTTTAAATTGGTGGCGGTGTAAATTGATTCAAATTTGAAATATTTCAATTATTTTCTTAATAGATTATTGAATGAATTATTATTTATTATTATTATAAGATTTCCATTAATAATTTGACCTTTTTAGATAAATACTTTAATTTTTTAGTTTGGATATTAGTGAAAAGTAATTATTAAACTCTTTATTACTATTTTTATTATTATTACCCTTATTATTATCGGTGTTGTGATTGATTGGTTATTAATCATTCAATTTCTTTAACATTGTATTGATTTAAGTAAAAGGAGAAATTTTCATTTACCTTTGACTATTCATTAAAATGTATTAAATGTTGATACTTTCAAAAAAAAAGATAAATTTTATTTGAATAATTATTATAAAATTAAAAATTTATGAATATAAAGTTCTTTGATAAATACAGTAAATACAATAAATACAATAAATAAATGTACAAATATAAAAAAAAAAATAATAAAAATTAAAGTATAATCAATAAAGTTAATTAGCATTCTTTTTCAATATCCTTAATTCTAACATGAACAGCATTTCTATGAGCTTCCAATTCTTCTACTTCTGCTAATCTCATAACTGTATATCCTAAATTTTTCAATCCTTCTTTGGTTAATTTTTGTGATGTAATATGTTTTAAGAATGTTAAAGTATTAACACCTGAATACATTCGTGCATATCCATATGTAGGAAGAGTATGGTTCGTACCCGAAGCATAGTCACCACAACTAGATCATAAATTAAAAATTTAATTTAAAAAAAAAAAATATTATTGTAAAAAGGGAAATTAATTTTAATAAAAAAAATAAAAAATAATTTTAATAAAAAAAAAAAAAATAAATAAAAAATGAAACAATATTATAAAATACCTTTCTGGTGAATAAGCTCCAACAAAAACACTACCAGCATTTTGAACTTTTTCCACCCATTTATCAGCATCATCAAGATGTAAAATTAAATGTTCGGGTGCATAATCATTTGAAAATTTCATAGCTTCCTCCATATCTTTTACTTCTAATATAAAACTTTTTGGAATTGATTCACGTACAATATCTACTCTTGGAAGTTGACTCGCTTGTTTATGAATTTCATTTTCAATATTTGAAAGATGTTCAGGTGTAAGTGATACACCTATCAATACCACTTGAGAATCTGTTCCATGTTCTGCTTGAGATAATAAATCTGATGCAACATATGAAGGAACGCTTGTATTATCTGCAATAACTAAAAGTTCTGAAGGACCTGCCGGCATATCAATAGATACCATAGCCGAACTATCATTCTATTTTTAATAATTTTAAATAATTTAAATAATTTTTTGAATAATTTTTGATTAATTTTTAACCAATTTTAATAATTTTGAATAAAAACAAAATAAAATATATATTCAATAAAAGAGATTTTATACTTACTTGTACTGCCATTTTTGCAGCTGTTACATATTGATTACCAGGACCACAAATTTTATCAACTTTAGGAACAGTTTTAGTTCCATAAGCAAGTGCAGCGATTGCCTGAGCACCTCCAGCTAATACCACTTTTGATGCACCGACTTTATGTGCAACATATAATACTTCCGGTACAACTTTACCATCTTTTCGTGGTGGACTCGCAATAATAATTTCTTTACATCCAGCTACTTTTGCAGGAATACCCAACATAAGAGTTGTGGATGGTAAAATTGCCGTCCCACCTGGTACATAAATACCTACTTTTTCAATCGGTCGACTGAATCGTGAACAAGTTACACCTGGCATTGTTTCAACAATTAAAGTAGAACGATCATATTGTGCATCATGAAATTTGTATATATTCTCATAAGCCTGATCAATAGCTTGACGTGTGGAATCATCAATTTTCATATCATCCGGAGAAAAAGGTGACGAAATGACAGGTGTTGTTAATTGAACTTTGTCAAATTTTAATGTATATTCAATTAGAGCCAGATCTCCTCTTTTACGAACATCATCTATAATCGGATGTACTTTGAATAAAATATCGGAAGATTTAATGATAGGTCTTTGAAGAAGAGAAGTTCTTTTGATATCATCAATTTTTGATAAATTAAATCTTTGCATTTTAATGATCTTATTGGTAGGTTGTTCGTTAGTCACAATTAAAGGAATTTGTTCTTCGTTATTTTCATTCGATTTATTCCACTCAAATTTTGCATTACCAGGTCTTCGTGTTATCTTTTTTGCTCGTTGATTCAAATGGGCTTCCACATCTGTTAAAGATACTCCATTTGCAACACATTTTACAAGGGAAAAATAAAACAAATCAGCTGTTTCCCAAGCAATATTTTCTTTTGTAGTTGCGGAACATAATTCATTTGCTTCCTCTATAATTTTTGAATGAAGCAAATTTGAATCTTGGAATAATCTCTGTGTATAAGAACCAGTTGGAGAAGATAATTTACGACTTTGTAAAGTATTTTCAAGTGCTGTAAGTCCACTATCATCCCCAAAGCATGTACGAGTATTTAAATGACAAAATCCTAAAAATAAATTTTTTAATTAATAAAAACAATTACACTCACATTTTACAATTATTATAATCAATTACTTATTTGAAATGTTGAAAGAGAAAAAGATGAAGAAATAAAGGGATATTATTATTATTTAAAAAAAAAGAATTTACCAGTCCCATGTTGCTTTACTACAAAACGTAAAGAATCTCCATCACAATCAGTTTGAATTCTTTTTAATTCTTGAACTGAACCGGATGTAGCACCTTTATACCATAACCCTCGTTTTCTACTTTGATAAACACCTGTTTTGGTTTTGAAAGCTTCACGAATACTTTCTATTGATGAATAAACTACTCCCAATAATAAACCTCTTTCATCTACCACCGCAGTAATAAATAAACCATCGGATCGATCGGATTTTAATGAACAAGTAAATGCATCTGCAATATTAAGTAAACCATTGACATTCGAATCTAATGTAAGTTGATCAATAGGAACCACTAATTCTGCTGAAAATTCTTCTGAAAGCCTTTTTATAAATTCCAAAGATGATGATAAATATGAATTATTGGATTGTAAAATGAGTCCAACTTTTGAAATTCCACCTGATGGTAATAAATTTTTTTGTGCAATTTGTACAAAATTATTAAAATCTTTTAAAAAATTTTCGGGTACAGATCTCATAGCTTTGGAAACGGTTTCATCATTTGAAATGGTTATCAAATATCCAGAAACTAATCCGGACAAATTTTTTATTAATTCTTTGACATTTTCAATATTTGATATTTCATGTGAAGTGATATGTGCAATTAATCTATTCGCGGGTAAAGTGGAAAAATTTTTATCACCCAAAATCCGGAATGAAGGGATAACAACTTTATGAGCCCCTTGATCCAATAAATTGATTACCTGTTCAATATCTTGGGAACCTATATCTTTAAAGGGAAAGATCCAATAATTGTCTAATTGAAAAGTTTCCAAAAATTTAGATAAAGTAGTGGTCTCGCAAATATCTGGAATACGAAGAATAATGTCCCCAATTAAATTTAATGAAGATACGAGTTTTTCATCGGATACTTGATTAGTTAGATTAATAATTGGTAATATCATTTTTCAAATTTTTATGTAATTTTTAAAAAGAAGATAAAAGATATAATCTAATCAAATTTGTCAAGAATTGAATTTGATAGTGGATTTTTAACTTAGATAATCTATGAATCAACCCATTCAGATTGGATTTAGATTGGACAAAAAATTCATATCTCGTGATCTACTTCACACGCATCATTCCGTGTAAATACCCATTATTTATAATTCGTCATACATTTACAAATTTATAAAAGTCTATATAAATGGTTATCTTTAAGTTTATTTTCTTACTTTTTCTTTCTTTTTTTTTTTTAAAAAAAAAAATGGGTTGCATATCTTCCAAAAAATTAGATGATGATAATGGTAGTAGAAAAGTTGAAATAAGAATTATAAATGTAGATGAAGCTCATAAAGCGATACCAGATAATAATTCAGATATTTCAGAGAAATATCCAATGACTTCAATAAAGTATTATGGTAATGATAGATTTAAGTTACATCATAATTTGTATAGATATATTTGGCAAAGTAATTTTTCTTCACCTGTCGAAGAAAGATTATCATTACCGGATGTTAAAGTCTTGGATGTAGGGTGTGTACATCAATTGTTTTTATTTTTTTTGTTTATAATAAAAATTTGTGAATAAAATATAAAAAAATAAATTTGTAAAAAAAAAAAAAAAATTTTTTTAGTTGTGGTCCCGGAACGTGGATATTAGAATTGGCCAAAGAATATCCGAATGCATCATTCACTGGTATCGATCATCGAACCCTATTTAAAGCTGAACCCCCATCAAATGTAACAATAGAATATAATGATCTTTTGACAACTCTTCCATTTAATGATAATAGTTTTGATTTCGTATTTATGAGATTTCTGGCATATGAAATAACGGAAGAAAGATTTGAAAAAAATGTGATTCCTGAATTGGTTAGAGTTTTAAAACCAAATGGATATTTAGAAATTATGGATATTGATGTTCACGGTGGAAACGAAGGTCCTGTTGCTCAACAATTGACGTCTGCAGGTAAAAAATTATACAGTATTTTATTATTTATTTTATTTTTTTATCATTATTAATTATTTTTTTTTACCATTTGTTAATTTTTTTTTAAAAAAAAAAAAAAAGTTCAATCATTTTATAATTCGAAAGGTATAAATTCAAATATAACCCAAAAAATTAAAAAATTCATGAACTCTACAAATATTGTCGATGTGCAATCATTAGAACAATTTCATCCCATTGGTTCATGGGATTATTCATGGGATAAGGAAATCGGGGAAGCGGCATTAAAAGATTGGGAATTACGTTTGAATAATCTTAAAATCAATATTGAACAAATTTTAGGTATAAATGAAGAAGAGTTTAGAGATTTAATAAAATCTTTTGAAGCGGAAGTAGATATCTTTCAAACTTATTGGATTAGTAGAAGAATTTTTGGGAAGAAAAAGATAGATGAAAAGTGAATCATTTTTTTTTTTTTAATATATTTTAATACATTTATCTTTTATAATTATATATTTTTATATTTTTATATTTTTATATTTTTATATTTTTATATTTTTATATTTTTATATTTTTAATATTTAGCAAAGTAATAATTTAAGAGTGTGTAATAGAATTTTATTCATTATCAATTATGATGATAGAATGAAAAGTTTTATTCGAGACAAATAAATTGATAATATTTAATAATAATAATAATTAATAAAAAAAGATCATAATAATTTAGAGTATGAAATCACATAATCACATGTGCATTCCGATGAGTAATAAATTTTACATAATAAATCAAAAGTGGAACAAAAGTATGATGATCGCTTGTTTTTTTTTTCTCACTTTGGAACGCGCAATCAATCAACCTACAATTTATCAAAAAAAACTATATATCAAATTTCTTTTTTACTCACTTATCAAAAGAACTTAAACCCATTATAAAAATATTTTACCAAAAATGCCCAAAAAATCGAGATCTTACCAACTAAAAAAAAAACATGAATCAAGTTCCAAGTTTCTTAAATATTGCCCATTGAAACCTGGCAAAGACAAATATAACTGGGTAACCGACGAATCTTATATGGATGAAGAGGGAAAGGTAAATAATTTTATTATTTTTCAAATATAAATTAATAACATTCATATTAATTAAACTATTATTAATATTATTATTGCCAGTTAATATATCAAACGAGTGAAACGCTCGCGATTGAAAAATTAAAGACTGCCAAATGGGATGAATGTGGTCAAATGAAACTTTCCGCCTGGAAATTTAAAATCAACGATTTAACACGAAAAGCAAACATATATCCAAACAGTGTACGAATAAAGACGGCGATCTCCACATTACCTGAGTGGATGCAAATAAGGTTAAACGAAGTGGAGTTCAATAATATGTCACCAATGTGGAGGAAGGCCGAGGAAATTTATAAGAACAAAGAAATAGAAAGTGGATAAGGAGATAAAAACTTATAATAATCAAATAATATTAAATATATGTATTAAAGAATCTGTGATCTAATTTTTTTTTTTTTTCGAAAGATTCATATGCAGCATTTTAAAAAAATGTATTTTTCCTTGTATATCCCTTTTCTTTTTTTGTAAAATGTTTTAAAAATACTTTTTTTTTTTTCTTTTTGCATTTTACATATTTTACTAATTGTTATTAAAAAAAATAATAATGTGACTGCACCTAAACTAATTGTTACCAAAATAATTATATATTAAAGATATTCAACATAATATTATTATCTCTTCGTGTGAGAATTTGATATTTCTAATTGAAAAAGTTTGTGGATTCATCATTTCCTTCTTCTCATTATTATTATTATTATTATCTTTATCATCATCATCATCATCAACTGGAAATCCAAATAAGTTTTATTAACTACATCTGAATTTCTCCAAATGGTTAATGGACCAATAAACACCGAATATAATGTAAAACACCAGAATTCGCGATTTCTTCCAATTCTACACGCATATAAAATCTTAGCATATTTTTATTGTATCTTCAGGAATTAAAGGAACTTTCCAAATATATATTCATTCTAATTACATTTAATTTTGATATCTTTAGACCATTCGGATTTAACTTTTAATGAAACTTTATCACCCGAAGATTTTGAATCGTTATGTAAAGTAAGTTTAAAATTAGTTAATGGAACATTGATATTTGGTTCTGATGATTATGACCATCGAATTTTAAAGTTCCATTTACATGAATGTCAAGTAATAGATTCTTTTCTTTAAGTAGGTTTCTCTAATATTTTTAGGTAAATATCCAGCATCTGGATCTGAATTCATTGGATCTAATATTTGTGTTTCGTAGAGAAAGAAAATATGAAAAAAAAAACATGAAAAATAATAATAATATCGAACAGGAAGAAATTAGAAAGTTAATAAAATGAAACAATGAAATTGATATTATCATTTTATTAATTTTATTATAAATTTATAAATTTACGATCTCAACCAAAGAAAAAAAATAATTATCATCAAAATAATTTGGCATTATAAAGCATCTTCAACTATTCATCTCAGACGCGTAATGTGATCCGTTATGTTGAGATACATCTTGTGATCCCATGTGCCAATGATCAAAGAAAGTCATAAAATTCATAAAATTGAATAAATTTATACATATATCTTTTATTTAAATAACCTGGTAAAAAAATATTTAATTTGTAAGTATAAAGTTTCTTGTATTATTTAAGCGGATACAACTTGCAGAACAGTTATATAACTATTAAAAGAATTTTGATTTACATTATAATGATGTATTTATTTTTGGATATTTTAATATTTTATCATAATAAAAAAAAATTACTATAATGCGCACAAAGTTCTAAGTTTATTAAAGACAGGTACCAATACCATTATTAAAAGAACAAGATTGGCTGCAACAATTAGTGATATTATCAAAAGTACATGGAATACCATTTGGAGCACATATGGTAATAATAGAGGTTGGTGTAAAGGTAGAGGTAGAGGTGAAAATTGAAGTGACAGTTAAAATAGTAGATGTTGTTGGCATGAACTTTTGGACATGGCAAAAAAAAACGGTTGGATTACAAAAAAAGGCCTTTTCGCATTTGTCATATTAACAATAGGACTTTCCTCAGGAACACAGGTAAAATTTTTATTTCTTTTGACAAGGATGTCAAGGGGAACGAAGACGGTGTTAATGGTAGTGGTAGTGGCAGCGTTAATGCTGGTAGACGTGTTGATAGTAGTAGATTTAATGGTGGCAGTGGTGAAGGGTTTTGGACAATTCGGGGGATAAACCGTCTTAGTGAAACTGCGTGTCTTCATAATGGTTTTACATCGTCTAGCAGTTACTAGTGACGAGAATAAAGTATTGAAACAATTAAAGCAACCGTAGCAAGAAGGAAGTTTCTATTTAACCACATAATGGAAGATTGATAATAGAAAAAAAATTAATTCTTGCATATAGAAAACTGCTGTCACAGGTTATTTATTTGATGATAATAAATTTCTAAATAAAATATTAAAATAAATTATCAAATAAAGAAAGTTTAATATTATACTTAAAATGTATTCATGTATATTTAACTGCCCTTATTTCGACTATAGGGTATGGATGTACAAACATATTTTTATTCAAAGGTATCGAGTAATATCAAATATATTACAGTCAATGTAAACAATGATTGTTTGTATGACATGATTTATGAATAGTGTAATAGGCAATGAAAAATATGGCAATAAAGATATAAAAAATATTTTTTAAAAAAAAAGATTGATATTATTAAATTTTTATTAATTGGAAATTTATTTTTATAGCAATCAAGAATTTTTTTTACATATGAATTTTTATTTTGTATATATTCAAATTTAATAACATATAATGTACATGTAAAGAAGAAATTTCAACAATCTATTTTTTTTTAATTCAAATTATGATACAATTACAATGTCCGGGAACTTGCAGACGGGTTGCATTTAATTATATTAATTATATTAATTATATTAATTATATTAATTATGATAGAAACTACTTATACTCTATGAATAACTATAATTCATTGATCTAAATTTTCAATACAATTACACTGTATAAAATTTTAAAAATCATAATTTTCTTTTTTATTTTCGAGATGAGAAAATTTATAATATCCCGTTTTTTAAAAAGATCTAAATATATTTTATTATAATCATTACTTTTGATTTTATTCACTTTTTATTAGTCCACTTCCCCAACTTGTTAATACTCGTTGACATTCTTCTTTAACATGATTGGCTATTGGTAACATCCATTTTCCTTCCGATACAAATTGGCGTGCATATAGAAGGCACTTTTCTCGGGAGAAATTAGTATACATGCGGCTATTTATGATTTTCTATCGTTGTTTAAAAATTTTTTTAAAATTATTAAAAATTTTATAATAATAAAAAAAAAAGAGAAATATACAAACCTGCCATTGTGGATCGCTGCGATTTGTAAGATGAGAATTAGGGTTGAAATTATGATTAATCAAAAATCCATCGTGAATTACAAACAAATTTGATCCACTAAGATACATTTGAAATAAACATGCCGCTTTGTTGTTTTCAAATCGTTCCGTACACCTGTTAGAAAAGAAAAAATATGATAAATTGTTCAATAATTATTTCCAATAATAATAGTAATAATAATAATAATAATAAATTATAAATTTCACACACACCAAGGAAGTCCTCCATTCTTTTTTGATATAAAATTGGGCCTATAATGTAAATCATATTCTTCTATCATATAAGGTTTTTTACTTTTAAAATATGATGATACACAGGTTGGTCCATTATTAAATTCCCATCCATAATCTTGCATTCCCATCTTTTCTTCTTTTACCATAACTCTAATTTCTTTCTTTGTATTCGGTAATTTAACCGATGTATCTGAAGAAGTGGTGGTATTATCATTATTATTATTATTATTAATGAATGCAAATGTTGGAATTATTAAGATATCATTATTTAATAATAATCCAAGATGATTCTTAATTTTCGTATGTAAATCCAATGATGGCCAAGTATCATGATCTAAATAAAAAATCAATTCGGTACGTGCAAAAAATCTTGCTACATTAAGATGAAAATTGGTTGGAATTGGAAAATTGTTTTTTTTTTCTTTTATTCCTGAACCAGTTATAAGATGTATATCAACAAATTTTCTTAAATTTGAATGTTTCTTGTAAAGTATTTTAAGAGAATTTATGGTTTTAGATATTTCTGGATCTTCAATGTTTAATTTTGATGGTATATGAAGTGTAGCTGATAATGGACCTGAGAAAAATATATGATTGTCATTATATTACAATTATAATTATAATAATAATTTACTTTTTTTTTTTTTATAATAATTTTTATTATATATATTAATTATTAACTTTATTATAATACCTCTCCACGTATTAGCTAATCTTACTAAATCATCTAAACGATTCTGTGTTATGAATGCAGTAACTGTTACATCATCTGATTTAAACACATTTTTAGCACGAAAATAATATGGATATATACGATCAGTTAATGTTTGTGGTGAATAAACGTGCATTTTTGAAAACCTCAGTTCATTTTTGATTTCTGATAATGGAGAATTTTTATTTGTATCTAAAAATATTATTATTATTATTAATAAAATATTATTATTATTATTATTATTAAAATATTATTATTATTATTATTCATTAAAAGATATTAAAAAATATTATTATTTATTAAAAAATATTATTATTTATTAAAAAAAATATTTTTAAAATCTTTATAAAAACGAGAAAAAATTTTATTATAAAAAAATTATTAATTACCATAAGTTCTTAAAATTGGTTCTGATTTTGACATCAAATCTATTTTCGGATCATTAATAATAATTTTCGATTCCTCAAATGTATATTTTACCAAGTGTGTTAATGAAAACACTATTGAAAATCCAATATATATTACCAGTATATATCTAAGTATTTTTGATTTCCAAAGGAAATTATACGATTGAGATGTACTTAAAAACCACATTTTACTTTTTAATCTAATATTAACGTTTCTCTATTTTTTTTAAAAAAAAGTATTTGTTGTATATAAAATATCTACGTTTTTTATTTTTTATAATGTAAGCATTACCAAGGAAATATTAAATTAGTAATGGAAGAGGTGGAAGATGGTAAAAGATTATCCCCAATATATAAAAAAAAGAATGTTTAAAGTTGAAGTTATCCGTTTTTTTTTTTTTTTTGGTTAACATATTTGTGTAATAACTTATTTATATGGTTACTGCATTTGGTAAAACATCAATTATTTTTAATTTCTATTCGGAAACTTCTTGTTAGAGGTACATTTTGTTTAATGAAAGATTTCCTTAATTGACAGTAACGTTGTTCTATAATTATAACCAATCATAATTAAGAATGATTATCTTTACTAATAAAAATCGGAAAAATGCCAGATTTTAATTGACAGTAAATCATACAAAAAAATCAAAAAATCAAAAAATGCAATCCAAAACAAAGTAATTTTTTTATTATTATATTAAAACTCTAAAATACAAAATACAAATGTAACTTTTTTACTGTAATAAATAATTTCTTTTAAATATAAAAAAAAAAAATATAAAAAATATAAAATTAAATTTCTAATTGGAATAAAATTTTTTACCCCATTTCTTTAATCTTATGCTTTGGATTTTGATAAATCCTTCAGAATCATCAGGAGTGAATCCACCTTGAATACTCATAGAACTTTCATCCATATCATATAATTTTTCTGTATCTGATTTACGACCTTCAACAATGACATTACCTTTATATAATTTTAATTTTACTTCTCCATTAACTGATTTTTGACTTTCCAAAAGTGATGCGGAAAGGAATTCACGTTCAGGTGAAAAGTATTGACCATTATACAAAAGTTGTGAAAATTGAGGAGTAACAAATTGATCTCTCAAAGCTCTAACTTGACGATCAAGTACTAAACCTTCCAAATCTATATGAGCGATACGAAGAATGGTACCTCCAGGAGTTTCATAACATCCTCGACTCTTAATACCAATAAATCTATTTTCAACAATATCAATTCTTCCAATACCATTTCGTCGTGCAATAGTATTAAGATAAATGAAGAGTTTTAAAATATCAGTTTCTGTAGTTCCGTCATTATGATTTACGACTTTGGTAGGTATTCCTTTATTAAATGTAATAGTGATACGTTCAGGAGTATTAGGTGCTTCTTCAGGATCCACAGTAAGTTTCCACATATCCTTTGGTGGAGTAACATTGGGATCCTCAAGAATACCTGCTTCGTAAGAGATATGAAATCTAATTTTTTTATTCCCAAATAAAATTTTTTTTTTTTTTCATGAATTTTTATTTTGAAGTTTCAAATATGATAATATGAAAAAAAAAATAATAATAATAAATATTTACAAGTTTTCGTCAGTGGACCATGGCTTTGAAGCTGTTTGGACAACTGGTACTCCTTTCTCTGCAGCATAGACTAGAAGAGCCTCGCGACCAGGGAAACGTTCATAAAATTCTGATAAAAATAATTTTTTAAAATAATTTTAAGAATATTTTTGCCTTGAAGAAAAGAATGAATGAATGAAAAAAATTCAATTAGTTTAACCTACCACGAATACGCCATGGAGCAATAACTTTAATATCCGGTTTCAATGCATAATAAGCTAATTCGAAACGAACTTGATCATTCCCTTTACCAGTGCAGCCGTGAGAAACATATTGACAATTTTCCTTTATGGCAATTTCAATCTAATATTATTATTAAAAATGAATTAATTGAATTAATTAATTAATATTTATATGGTGAATTAAAATATTGATATAATGAATTAATATTTAATTTACTTACTTGACGACGTGCAATTATGGGACGAGCAAGTGATGTACCCAAAAGATACACATTTTCATAAATGGCATTGGCTTGAATAGCAGGGAAAATGAGTTCTTCAACAAATTCGCGTCTCAAATCCTATGTATATTATAAAATGTCAATATTTCTTTCTAATTTATAATTCATACAATTTTATACAATTTTATACAGTTTATACAATTTATATACAATTTTATATACAATTTATACAATTTATACGATTTATACAAGTAGGTAATTACCTCAATAAAAACTTTTTTCGCACCAATTTTTAATGCTTTTTGTCTAGCAGCTTCAAAGTCTTCTTCTTGACCAAGGTCGGCCATATAAGCAAGTACTTCATAACCTTGTTCAATAAGCCATACTAGAATGCAAGAAGTATCAAGACCACCGGAGTAAGCAATAAGAACTCGTTGTTTTTGTTCAGGCATTTTTTTTTTATTAATTATTTGGTGAGTTGAATTAAAAATGAATTATTATTATTTTTTTTTATTTATTTTACAAAAGACAAAAGAACGTTGTTATTAATTGTCATTTTTATACTTTTTATAAATAATTTAAATAATTTAAATAAATCGGACAATTAAATTATAATGAACACCGTCAATTTACTAGATAATCTAATCTCAAGATTTAATAATTGGCGTTTTTTTTTTTTTAATTTGAAGACAAAAATATTTTAAAAACTTTTAGATCATCTTGATCACTTCGCTATACATAAAATGAGAGATTGATCACTTCGCCATACATTAAAATAAAAGATTGATTACTTTACTTTGTAACTCTCACCACACCTTTTTATCTTGTTTCCTATTTTAGTCATCAGTTGGTAAAATATACCCAGGGTACACATATGGGCTGATTTCGATGTTTTATATCACATATGTGATGTCTGAAAATATAAATTGTTATTGGCCATTATACACATGATTTAATGGTAATAAAAAATATTTTTTTTAATAATAATTTTTTAAACATTCCAAACCTAAAGTATTTTTTGATATATTTAATTTTTTGTTGAATGTATTTGTGTGTATATATATATTTTATCCCATGTTATAATTATTAAAATACATGATTTTATACATGTATTTATATTAAAATCTAAGATTAATAATCAATGCATTTCAAACCTATTAAGTGTTAAAACTTTTGAAATTTATATTCTATAAGTTCAGAAGAAGCTCCTTTTTTTCGTAATATTTCTTAATTATATAAATTATGAATGGGTAATTTAATTAAAATGCGACAACATAATTAAATTAATGATTTTCGTTTAATAATAAATTTTATGTGACAAAATCGAATGGAGACATATGATCTTAACCATAATTAAGCGACCAATCATCCTTCAACACTCAACACGAAATACATCTTAACCAAATTATATATTATATATATTATCTTCACAAGAATGTATAATCTTATGCAACGCGCTAATGCATTATTCGCTTTTGCGATTACTGTACTGTTTGCTCTTTTTGGAGTCATATCAGTTGTTACGCCTTTCTTATCTTCTTCTCCTACAGCCACACTTAATATCAGTGATTTACAAATTTGGGTGTATGAATATAATTTAAGTGAAAGTGAATTTGCTTTTGTGGACATGAAACTTGAGGCTGGTTTGTTCTTATTCCTTTCATTTTTCATTTGTCAATTTCCTTTTTTTTTTTTTTTAACAAATATCTTTTATCTTTTTTTTTTTTTCCAGATTTAACTTCACTATTTAATTGGAACACCAAACAATTATTCATCTGTGTGATCGTCGAGTATAACACCGATACACATGTGAGTAATGTTAATTGAAGATGATAAATGATAAATTTATTATTATTAAATATTTAGTTTAAATGTATTTTTGATTTATCAAAAATTTTTAATTTATTAATAGAATCAAAATCAAATAATTTTGTGGGATAAAATTATTAAATCAAAAGAAGATGCATTAATTAAAAATTATGATATACATAATGCGTACAATTTTGTAGATATAACGAGTAGTTTTGAGTAAGTTGACAAATTGTATTTATTATGTTCCAAGCTTTATTATACAACATATAATATATTAATCAATATTTATTTATATTAAAAGGCGAGCGAACGCAACTTATTCTTTACATTGGGATATAATGCCACATGTTGGAATGTTAATGAATGGACGGGCTGAAAAATTAAGTGTTAGGAGATTCCCCAAACCGAGGCAACCAATTAAAAATATTAGATAATAAAAAATAATATATATATTCAAATAATAATTATAATAAGTTAGAAATGTGAACTTCTTTTTTCCTTTGGACAATTTTTTGGGGGAAATTTTAAAAGTGTATTTAATAAAATAGGTAAGGATTTTTTTTCTTGTGATTATCATTTTTTTTTTTTTTTACAAATAAATTGTTATACACCAAATTTTTGTTACATATAGAAAATATTGTTCATTAAAAGAATTTTTTTCTATTTATATGTATATATATAATATGTTATATATTATATACACATTATTTATCATTATGTCAGGATTAAAATATCTGAATTATTAATTAATTTATTAGATTTGATTTTGATTCGATTAGAATAGCTCATTTAAATGACGAATAGAAGTGATATCAATTGAAATGGATTTTGGTGGACTTTGAGAAATTATAATATTTTTGGTCAAACAATAATAATATATTTATTATTATTATTATTTTTTTTTTTGAACCAAGAGGTTTATAAGGGAACGCAATTTACAACAGAATTTATAAAGCACTTATAAAAAAATATTTTTTTTATTGACGCGATTTTTTGACAAAAATTTTTTCTGTAATTAAAAATAATATATTTGAAAACATTTTAATCGCGTAAAGTGTATATTTACATACGTACCGTGTAATTAAGTAATTAAGTTGTAAACATGTAATTATGTAGTTTATGTGTGTTCAAATTATAATAACTTTATTTTCAAAAAAAACAAAAATATTTGCACAATTCAATGCAATTTACATTATTTGTATTTTTCAATAAATAGAGTTGTTAATTTATTTTTGTATCTATTAATTTAAATACGATTAATATCCATTTATTTTAATCACCTTTAATAACAAAAATAACAAAAATAACAAAAATTGTTCACTACCAAAAATTTTGTGAAACGTTAGTAGTTTCATATTAATTGGATCGTCATCCAGTGATTCTAAACAAATGGTTTTTCTCACCTCTTCATTAAAGATCGTCTGATTAAGATGAAAAAAAAAAAAACCCATCATTTCGAAAATAAAAATATATAAAAATTTTTGTAATTATAGATTTCTAAAAATAAATAAAAATTTTTCGCAGATAATATTCTCAATCAGAATAATGGAGAATGGAGTTTTCCGTTAAAGTTAATTATAAATTCTTTAATAATCAAAGATTATTAGGATTAAATATAATTTGACCAACCCAATTTTTGAATAACAAAAAAATTTGATCTAAAAAAAAAATGGGAAAAGAAAGAGATTTGACTTCTTGAAAGAGAAGAAAATAATAGTTATTTCTATTCCGAATTCTTAGCATTGTTTCATCTTTCGTAAAAGAAGTTTTTGGAAAGAGAAACCTATAAGTTAAATGCGTGACGAAACATAATATTAAACACAATGACATTAAACATAATGATATTTAAATATAATATTTATTATAAAACTATGAAAACAAAGGTTCAATAAATTAGTCATTCTAATATTTCGCTTTATTTCCAGATAACTTTAAAGGTTTCTCTCAAAACTTACATCCAAAGATCGATTTTTGTAGAGAATTAGCCTCCTGCTTACCTTAATTAATTAATTGGTATGATCTCAAATATTCTGCAAAGATATATTTAGAAATGATATTCATCGTAGAATGCGTTTCCACAGAGAAAAAATTATTTAATATAATTGAATTCTATAAATGTTAAAGAATAGTAAGAATAGTAAAGATTTTTTTTTTTTAAAGGATTGGATTTAAAGTATTGTTGATTCTTTGTTTCTATTGTTGATTCTTGTTTAGTATGGTGTTTGTTCATAATAATAATAATAATAAACGAATTAACATTTTAATAAACATTCGTTTCAAAGAATCATTATTTTTCGCAGTTTCACTTGTGCTTCTTTGGGGGGAACTCATGATAATTCAGTTTAATTAATTATTAATTAAAAACTTAATACTCGGGTTGATGATCAAAACTATTAAACTTAATCAACAATGATATTTTGTAAGTTATTCTTCTCGTTATCTCAAATGGTAAACTTTTTTTTTACCCTTTTTTTTTACTTTTTTCCTTTATATATTCAGATGTGGGAGAAAAACTTTTAATTGCCTATTATAACCATTAATGGTTCGTCACTACAATAAGATGGAATAGGTTAGTACTAAAATTGGGAGTTCGAACTTGATTTATTTTAGTCATTTCATTGTGTGGTATTCAACTATGTATATTATTATAAATTATATTCCTTAAACTATATTTAAAATATTTTATATTCATATTATTCAAATTATATATTCAAGTTAGATTTCAAACTTTATTCTTTTAAACTTTATTTTTAAACTTTATTCTTAAATTAAATTCAACTAAAACATGAACGGTTTAAAATGAAATATATGTTCATATTGGTGAATCAATGATTGTATTTCATCGTGGTCAAATAACGTAATGATATTGAATAGATCACAATAAACTCAAAATATTTCTATTATTCGCCTGGAAACGAACGACACATAGTTTTTTTTTATCGAAAATAATTCTGCACTATATTGACTATAGACTTATATTGAATGTATTGAATTGACTATATATCAATCAGTTCAGTGTGAAACAGAAAATTGTATATTATTATATTATTGATGTAAATACATATGACCGATTAACATATTTTGATTTCAATCAAAATATTTTAAAATTTTTGTTCTTACCCTTTCCATTTTTCAATAAGTGAAGAAAATCCATAAAGTGAAATTTTGAAAATGAAAAATTCATAAATATATTTCGTATTTTCGGGCATCAAAAAAAAAAAGGTATGAAAATACCCTTGAATCATAGAGTTATGAAAAATAAAAATAAAATGAATGAATGAATGAATGAATGAATAAACCTGTTTTGAGTGTTAATTACTTTCTCTTCTTTGGCAACTTCTCGGTTTTCCAAATATCGTTAAATATAAAATCAATTAAAAATCAAATAAAAGTCAATGTAATTTTGAAATAAACTCAATAAAATCGGAATTTTATAACAACTTTCATATAAAAAATAAAATAAAATTCCATAGCTATATAAAAATGGAAAATTTATCCAAAAATGAAAAATTTGTAAAATTTGTCTCGATATAATAATTTACCACTAATAAAATATCAAAAATACTTAAAATTCTGTGCTTCATATTACAAATCGTAGATTTACATGACAGTCTTCATCCGCAGAATTGAGATCTTCTTTAACTCATTCCTTCTAACTTTTATATATATATTTCTTTTCTTTTTTTTTTTTGAAAAAAACTTCGTAGTTATGCCTCAAATTAAACAACAAGCTCGTCATATCAAAAATCCCAGTACTGGACAGGCTATAAATACTGCTGATATCATCCATGCAAATTTGGACGTTCGAGAAGAGCGTTTGAAAGTGTCGGTCATGTTAATTGATGGCTCAATAATTGATTTTCCTGTGCCAACCTCAAAAGAAATCCGCGACCGATTTTTTTATAAAAAAGCAAAATCTTCCGATAGACCCGCTAGGCCACCCAACAAATTCTTTATTTTTCGTACAATGTTTCAAGATGCCGTAGATACCTACAAACTTCAAGTTCCCATAGTTTCAGGGATTGCTAGTGAAGTGTGGAAAAAATCATCCCCTGAAGTAAAAGATGTCTTTACCAAACTTTCACAAATTGCAAAAATTGAACATAGTGAACTAAATCCAGGATATGTTTATAAACCATACCGAAAAATATCAAAAGATCTCAACCAAAAAGAATTAAAAGAATTAAAAGTAAAAGAAATAAATTCAATGAATTCCACACATTCCCTAGATTCAACTCAAAATTTTATTATTGCTACTTCACCTTGTCCTTCTTCAAGTAATTATTCGTCATTGCCAGTCACTCCAAATAATTATTCATCATTGCCAGTTACTCCAACTCAACCATTATGGCCAATAACTTCGCAACACACTTTACCCAAAAAAAATCATGAAAATTATAATTTATCATCTCAAAATATGCAACCAAATATCAATTCTTACCCTGAAATAACCCCTTCTTTATTGTATCCACAAAATCAAATTACTTTTAATTTTTTATTTAACGAATACATTCCTTCTTCTCATAACGATTCTATCAATCAAATAAATGTTTTACCTCTTATTCCCCAAGAAAATCAATTACAATATTACCAATATCCAACTTCCACAAATTCATCTTATTCTATCAATGAAATTTTACCCGAACAACAACAACGACAACATCATCAACTACAAGACAACGGTGAAGCAATTTATAATAATAATAATAATAATAATAATAATAATCCATTAACCTATTATCAATCAATGGATCATCAAGATTCCTCTTCTTTATCTTCTTTACAACTCGCTTCGAATTTCACACATATGATTAATGATGCAAAAACAACCATAATTCCTGCACAAGAAAATGGATCGCAAGGATCAACATCATATCCACTTCTAGCCCCAGTAAATGAATATAATTCTGGCAACTACTCTCAAGTAAATTCTTGTCGTAAATACTCTTCCCAAGTAATTTCTCGTCTTAAATATCCTCACTTTTCCTCCTTTTCATGCAATAGTATTTTGCCTGAATATCATCAATTAATGAAAGAATCTTGATAAACGCGGTTAAAGAGGAAACAAGACTTAATCGAATTTATGTTTTTTGTTACATTTTTTTTTTTTGAACGAATATATGTTTTAATATATATATATATATTTACGTTATTCAAAGTTTCATTTACCTTTTTTTTCTTTCGATGAACTAGTTAATCTTTATATTTTTTTATTGTTTTAGTTTTATTTTATGTATGCTTTTTTTTTTCTCTTAAATCTTGGATAATTTTTTTAATGTATAAGAATATATCATACCTAAGAATGTATTATGATTTTTATCATTACTATGACGTAACTCATTATATCATATCTCGGGTGAATTTGATTTTCTAAAGTCGCGTCATTTTTTTTTTTTTGAAATCAATTTTTTGTCGCGTCTACTTTTCATTTTTATTTGCTTCTTTGCATTAATTAACAATGGATTTTTTTTCTTTAGTAAATATTTTTATGAATTTCATTATGCATGTAACATAAAACTTTCCATTAAAAAAAAAATTATGAATTTAACAAATTCCTTTTTTTTTCTTTTCTTTCTTTTCTTTTTATCTGTTTTATATCTATTATAAAAATTGGTATACACTTTTATTGTTCTTTGGAAAGAGCGATTCGAACATATCTGGGACGATCCTGGAAAATATTAAAATATTGATTGTGATTGTATTGATTGGTAAAACAGGTAAAAACAGAACATAAAATGAAGACAATCATAATTATGAAAAAAAAGCGCTTAACCTAAAGTGGAAATTTCAATTTTCTTGTAGAATACCTTCAAGAAACTTTATAAATATTATTGAGAAGAAAATATTGTTTCTTCAATTTTTCACCATTGAAGTTAATCCTCTTTGTTGAAAATTAGAGATGCCTTTCCTTTAAACATCTTTAAACATTCTAATTGTTATTTGAATTTGACAAACAAATTCTTAATTTCAATACAATAAATATTATTAATTATTTTCTGTTATTAATAATATTTTTAATTTAGAAATTTCATCAATCAATCTTGCTATAAATAATATAAATAATTATGCTTGGCAAATAACTTGATATACAACAAGAAAATTGCCAAGTGTCATGTGTTAGTTTAATCTTTTGGTGAAACAAAACTTGAATTCCATTTATATGGTTGTGTTTAGTTGAGTTAAAATTTCCTAAAACATTAAACACTTGAAATGGACCATTATCCTTCTCGACCAGTAGATCGTGAAAAAGCTGAACACGATCTTGCATTAAACATAAAAAAAGCCACAAGTCCTGACGAGACTGCTCCTAAACAAAAGCATGTTCGAAGTTAGTTTTTTTTTGCAAATCCAGTCTTTTTTAATTTTTTTTTGTTATCTTGGGAATTAACTCTTATTTCTTCTAACAGAATGTATTGTATATACTTGGGATTTCAGTACTTCCGAGTCAATATGGACAGGTTTAAAGGTTCAACCAATTTTGGCCGATGAAGTGCAGACTTTCAAGGCCTTGATCACTGTGCATAAAATTATTCGAGGTGGTCATCCTGTTGTATGTCTTTTAAATCCCCCTCACCTTACATTAATCTTAAATTTATTTTTATTTCTTAAACATTAATTACGAATTATCTATTATAATTATTATAATTTTATTCGTATTCAGACTTTAAAAGAGGCACAAAATCAAACCATTTGGCTAGATACGTGCGCTCGAACTATTTCTGAAGATGGCATACGAGGTTTGAACAAATTATTTATATCAGATTTAAAATTTATTTAAAAAAGAAAGTTCTGAATTTATTAATAAATTTTTCGACTGGATCAGGATATGGTATACTTATTCGTGCCTATGTTGAATTTCTAAAGTCAAAATTGGCATATCATCGCATTCATCCTGAATTTAATGGAAATTTTGATTATGAAGATTATGTTAGTTTAAAAAATGTTGATGATCCTAATGAAGGGTAAGTGAAAGATATTTAAAGATTGAATTTTTTTAAAATTATTTTTCTCATACTTAATTTTAAATTTTTTTTTTTTTTTTGTTTAGATATGAAACAATTAACGAATTAATGGACCTACAAGATAAAATTGATCAATTTCAAAAATTAATATTTGCACAATTTCGAAAATCTTCCAATAATGAATGTCGAATTGCTGCTCTGGTACCATTAGTAGAAGAGAGTTATGGAATTTACAGATTTTTGACTAATATGCTTCGAGCTTTACATCGACGTATAGAATTTATAGATGCATTGGCTCCTTTGGGATCACGTTTTAATGCTCAACATTATGCATTATTAAAGTTTTATTTTGAATGTTCAAATTTGAGATATTTAACAAGTTTGATTAGTGTGCCTAAATTACCACAGGTTTAAAAGAAATTTTGAAAATTGCAAATTATCAGCTTAATTGGTTTAATTAGTTACTTAAAATTTATCAACAAATATAATAATATTTAAATTTCCTTCATATTATTAAGGATCCACCAAGTTTAATTGATGGTACTGCTCCACCAGCTATACCTAAACGTCCACAAACAAGATCACCCGCACCATCCTCATTATCAGAACCAGAGCCCATAGCAGAATTTTGGAAAGAAAATGAAGCTTTAAAACAACAAGAAGAATTAGAAAAACAACGACTGTTATATGAAGAGAATCAAAGGCGTCTTCAGCAACAACGGGAAAATGAACTTCAAGCGCAACGATTGATGGAAGTTCAAAGGCAAAGGGAGATGGAAGAGCAACAGCGATTACAGCAGGAAAGAGAAATATTAGCTAGAGAACAATTAATGAGAGAACAAATGCAGAGACAAGCAGAAGGAAGAGTCGCTGAATTAGAGAGAGAATTGTTAAGCATGAGAAGTCAAGTTGAACGTGATCAAATGATGCTAGAACAATATGATAGGGTATAGGAATATTACAATCTCTTGATATTTTATTTTATTTTTTTTTTTTAGATACATAAAAATATTAAACTGGATATTAAAAATAAGAAATTGTTTCTTTTCTTGAAATTTTAGAAAGTTAAAGCCTTAGAAAGTGAGATGAATCAACTTAATTTCAATTCTCAACAACAAATTAAATCTAAAGATGAAATGATAAAAAATCTACAAGGTACTTACTATTATATCAAAGAATTCATTTATTTAAAATAATAATGGTGTGGTATCGGCATCTGAATTTTTCCTGTTTATTATCTTCATTCTTTGACAGATCAAATTTTAATGTGGAAGAATAAATACGAAGCACTTGCTAAATTGTATTCACAATTGCGTCAAGGGCATCTTGATCTTATCAATAAATTTAAATCTGCTCAACTTAAAGCTAATTCAGCACAAGAGGCCATTGACAAAATGGAGAGAATGGAACGTGATATGCGAGCTAAAAATCTTGAATTAGCAGATATGATAAGAGAGAGAGATCGATCGAGATACGAGCTGGATCGATTGAAGAGTGTAACTAGAAATTTATAAAATTTTGAATTTATCGGACACCAATAAAATATTTATTTAATGTTACTAAATTTCAAAAAATAATTCAATTAAATAGAGTCAACGTGAAGATTTTGAAAGAGCTAAACGCGATCTAGCGGAAGCAAATGCTTGTGTTGAAGATCTCGTAAAGTCAAAAAATAGTGAACTTGGATCATTAAGGTCCAAATTCGAAAAAGAGAAAAGAGAGATGGAAGATACGATAAGAGTATGCATTAAACATTATTTTTTTATATAAATTTAATGTTTATCATCAATTCCTAACAAATTTTTTAATTTTTTTTAATTTTATAAAATTATAGTCAAAACAATCATTTGTGGATGATTTATTGAGACAAATAGAGGAGAAAAAACAAGATATTGAACGTATAACACAGGTGCTCATTTATTTATTTTTCACGTAATATTTAATATTATTTAAACAATTTTCATATAATAATTCACAAAATGTTATGAATATTTATAATTATTAATAGGAAAAAGAAGAAGAAATTTTAATTATGCAATCTGCGATGGATCAAAGTATGATGCTTGTAGCAGAAATGCAAAAGGTACGAATTTTATGATTTCTTATATTTCACATGAATTACATGAATTGAATATTAGTATCTGAATTTATTTAAAAATATTTTAGTCTTCGAGTGAATCTGAAAAATATCAAGTTAGAATAGATCATTTAATGCTAGATCATCTCAAAGATCTAAATGATATTCTTGGTAAATATTTTAAATATTAAACTTTATCAATTAGTTCGCTTTAAGATATTATTTTTTCTATCCACTAAAAATCCTTTCCTATTATTAGACAGTATATTCCAAACATGTATTCAAAAAATCGACGATAGTTTGTATGAACTGGAATCAACAATGCAGACTGGCAATCAAAACTCTACCCCAGAATATACCCTGTCGATGATTGAAAAGGCAATGGCAGAAACTTCCGAATTTACTTACACTTTTCAGAATTTCTTAAGAAGTGATCGCATTAGAAATCATACCGATGTGATTAAGGCTGCTACAAATTTTGCACAATCTATTTCGGAAGTTCTAATAAATTCAAAAGGAATTACTCGTCTTTTTGACGATGATGATGAAAAGGTAGAGGAAATTGTTGGCTCTGCAAAAATGACAGCCAATATGGCACAAAAATTTCTTTTGAACGTACAATCATTTAAACTTGATAATTTGTCTGCATCACAAAGAACCGAAATGGTTACACAAAATGACATTGATGTTCAGAATGCTCTGCAAAAAATCTCTCGAACCACTGAAGGAATGTTAAAGCATGACTTGAATGTTACGAAAAAAGCTGATGGAGAAATCAGCGATCTCGTTGAACAAGAAATGTTGAATGCTGCTCGAGTAATTGAAAATGCCACCGCAAGAATTCAAGCATTGATGTTGAGACCCCGTGATTCTGGTCTTTCAGCTACAGAATTAAACGTTCATGATGCAATTTTAGAATCAGCACTTGCAATTACCAATGCTATTGCAAATTTGATAAAATGTGCAACTGCTTCACAACAAGAAATTGTTGCTCAAGGTCGTGGAAAGAATAGTCATGCAGCATTCTATAAAAAACACAATAGATGGACGGAAGGGCTTATTTCAGCAGCAAAAGCTATTGCGGTTGCTACTAATTTACTCATAGAAACAGCCGATGGTGTCATAAACGGTAACCGTTCTCTTGAACAGCTTATAGTAGCTTCAAATGAAGTAGCCGCTGCAACGGCACAGCTCGTAGCAGCTTCAAGAGTTAAAGCAGATTTCATGTCAAAAACACAAGATCGTCTGGAGACAGCTGCAAAGGCAGTTACAGAAGCTTGTAAAGCATTAGTTAAAGCGGTGAAAGCCATTGCAGCTAAACGACTTGAGCAAAAGGAGGCATCAATAAATTATGCCGAATTGGCACCTCACGATTTTAAAGTCAAAGAAATGGAGCAACAAGTTGAAATATTAAAACTAGAAAATGAATTGGTTAATGCTAGAAGGAAGTTAGCAGAAATGAGAAAAGTTGGATATCACGCTGAAGAGGATTAAAGTTATAATTGCATGGTTTATAGTTTTAATTGATAATTAATATTTATTTTTTTTTTCTGCAAAGAGATATGTTTCACTTCACTTTACACATTGAAAGTTTTATCGTGATCTTTTGATTCGGGATTGTATAATAATATTAAAAATATGATAATTACATTATATATAATAAGTTATTTATTTTTATCTTTTGTTTCAGTGATATGAACGATAAAATCATAATTATTTATTTATATTAGCATTTACACTGTAATAAAAATTGTCAATTCTTAATGATAAAATAATTTGCAGAAAGATTAGTTTCAGAAAAATCTTCTTGCTAAAATACAGATTGTGTCACTTGTCAAAAAATTTGAAATTCCTTTGCAAATCCGCGATTTGATCCACAAATCCGATAAATCCGCAAATCCGCAATTAGTCTTGGCAAGTCTACAATTAATGTTGTCAAATGTACAATTAATCTACAAATAATCTTTCTATCATTACTATCATTATCAATTAATACTTTAGTCAGAATTATCTTATCTCTATCTCTTTTATTTCGATGATTGGTGTAGCAACTATGCATATCGAAGATAGAAATTAAGTTTAATATTACGATCTATATTATATTACTATATTTATCTACACATGGTAAATACTGTGAACACAATAAACACAACGTACTAAATGATTGCTTGGCCCCCCATGTATGTACCCCCCGAAATTATTTTAAAATATCTAGGTATAATGAAAATTGTAAAGGTCTCGTCATGTCATCATGTGATAACTTTCAAATTTGTGCGATGACGACATTCAAGGATTTTTACGTGAAATGGAAAAAACATCTTCTAACCCTGTAAATAAAATAATATCATTTTTCATTTAAATAATTATTAATCATAATATATATTTAGCATTTATGGTGATATAATGCTCTGTGATTACATTTTTGTGAAAAAAAAATAATTTATACATTTACATATATATATAATATTGAAATATAAAAATTATAGATTGAAAATTATTCCCAAATTTAAGAAATATTTTTATCCTCCGATATTTATTTAGAATGAATTTAATCTCATTTATCTATACTATTTGTATACTGTTTGTATGTGTTCTGTTTCAAGGCAACGCAAAAAAAAGAAGCACAGCCAACAAATCACACACAAAAAAAAAACAACAACAATCGAATTTAATTCATTGTGCTGTTAAAATATATCTAATGATTGTTTGTGGTGTAATGTATTTAATTAATTTTTGGTTAAAATATCATTTTTGAATTGGTACTTTAAACATAAAAGAATTCCACAAGGGGTGAGAAAATTCAAAATAAATAGTATCATTTTGTGTGAATTTCCGTAATCGCATGAATAAAATTTTGATAGAAAGGGGAACGATTGAAAAAGGAAAAAAGTGAAAGTAAAGCGTTAGGTGCGTTTTTTCAAATAACTGGATGGAATAAATAATCACTAGTTTTGGTAAAATAAAATAAGGGAAAAAAACGTGGATGAAAACAATGTAGATTATTCAATTTTTTGAATTTACCTTTTTTTTGGGGGGGGGGGGGAAATTTACAATTGAAGAATGAAAGAATGAAAAGTGATAATATAAAATTCCCGATAAATTAAAGTAAAAAGTTAATTTATCGCGCGCATTCACTAAGCAGCATTACATAGGTTACGCAACGTTTTGCACATCTTGCATGAAATGAACGAAAAAGGTCTTTGGTGAACATTGTGACCAAAAAAGATTGTCAATTTATGTAGTTTCTTTGCTTTCTTGTATTTATTTGGTGATTTTTCTTTGGAATTATTCTTTTTAATTTATTTTTAAAAAAAAAAAATCTTTTAAAATATAAATATAGATAAATTAATAAATAAAGTCGTCTTCTAGGTGATAAGTTTTAAACTATTTATTTATCTACTTTTGTGAAGTGTTAGTGTAACATTGCATGGAAAACGAAAGCTTAGTTAATTCGCGTCTCTCTTAACTCCGATACTAAGGAGTTGATTTACAGTATATCTATGTATTTCATTTTATCATTTAATTTTTATCACGAATTAAAAAGTCAGATTTCTATTTTATCACTGATTAAAAATTAAGATTTATTCATTCTTAGTTAACTCAAAATGTTTAGCATATAAATTATTTCTAATTTTTTAATATTTCAATCGTTGGATGAACTATTTGTGCTTAAAAAAACTTGATATTTATCGGTGAGTTTTCGGGGAAAAAATATTGCCAATAAAGTAAATAAAATAAAGTCTACGTAAACAAATAAAGCCTACGTAAACAACGACTACATAAGATAAATAAATCTGCATAAAATACCTATCTGGAATAATATATATTAGATTTTTTAATTTGAATGAATAAAAAAAAGGGAAAGTAATGAATTATTCATATAATTGATACTAAAAAAGGTAATGAAGGATTGATGATCGAAGAATTCATGTGTAGTAAATAAAGCTTTGATATATTTCTCCTGAATCTCATATACTACGGTGATTTATTATTTACTTTTACATAAATAGTGAGTAAATGATGTAAATATTATGCTATCGGAGGATATTTTTAATATTTTAAAGAGAAAAGTTTCCTAATTAGGAAAAATCTCAAAGCATTTTTTCAGTTTTTATTCTATTAATAAGCACATATGAAAAACAATTTATGTATTCTTAGAATGAATTAACTCATCATGGTCGTTCTAAGACGCCAAGATATAATAATAATTGTAAATTCATCAAAAATAAACCAATAAAATAATTTTAACGGAAAAATCTAAAAATTTAATGAATAATCATCTAAAGAATTGGTGATAATTTTGTAGCAATATGTTAATATGTGAAGCAAGTAAAGATAATTACTTTAATTTGTATGTTTTCATATGTCAAATTTTTCTAGCCTTTTTAAAATGCAAAACTTAAAGATTTAAAAAATAATCATAAACGTCTCAAACTATTTTTAAACATTTCCATATAACTTTTTTAAACTCATTCATTATAACAATAAGTATATCCTATTTTAAAAATTTAATTATAAATCAAATTTAAGCATAATACTTATAACAACATATTCACATCTGAGATCACAAACACGAATCATCTATTATAACTTTATTCGGAAATATTTGAATGATTAATTAATTAATTAATTTATATTTAATAGAGAGAAGTGTTTAAAGTGTTTGAATATCAAGCATTTAAAAGCTACATTTATTTTGATAAAGAAATATTTCTCTGAGTCAGAAGAGTCATTCTCCGAGTCAAATAATTTTCATAACAGACGAAGAAGCAAATATTGTTTGGTTTGCTTTTGTTGAAATATTGTTCAAATTTAATTTCTATATTACTGTAAAATATTAAAATATAATTTTAATACATTGATATACGTTTAAAGATTATAAAAGATATATTAATAATAAAATATAAGATTTACAATAAAATTTCAATATATAAATTCTTATTACACCAATTAGTCTGATAATGATTAACAAAACCAAAATGGTTGACCAACAGAAACCGTTAAATATGTAGATTCTTAAAATTTTTTCTTATTCAAATGCATGTATCTAATTTATTAAATCCAAGAACAATGGGTACAATGGATTGAAAATATTTATTTTTCCAAGGGATGAAAAAAAAATATAAAGGTACCATGCATAACATTGCATATTTGATATGTAAACTGCGGACTATACTATACTAAATTGGAGAACGTCATGTGATAAATTACTTATCGTTTTTTCTTCCTTAATTTTGTATCTTTTTAAATCTAATTATACCGAATTAACGAATTTAGTACATGAAATTAAATTAACTACATTAATTATTAATTACTAATTACATAAATATTGATTAAAGCGATGCATGGTTTTTCGTGAAATATAATAAAGTAGATGGGAAGCTAGCGGAATGATTTTTTTTATCACCAATTGAATGAATTGATAACAATATAACTACTTAAAGAAATTTTAAAAGATTAATGTTTAACATTAATGCTTTGCATGTATTTGTTGAATCAAGTATCAAAAGAAAGATTATAATATGGTTCACGCGTATCTTTCGCTTATCTTTCATTTATCTTACGCATATAATTGATCATAATGTTCCTAATTATTTATTCATTTTGACCACAAAGGTTACAATTTATTTTGCATGCTCCTAATTTTTTATAAATTAAGTGGATTAGATTGATAAGATGCATTAATTAATTCCGTAATTACATTAATTACAATCAATATTAAGAAAGATTAAGACACGCGTAAAAAATGTTGCTTTTTTGTTTAACCAAATTTGAAAAAAGGTAAAGAATGAAATATAAATTAGTTATTTCATTTCACTTATTTTATCTCGTGCGTTTTACTTTTGTATTAACTAAAAATAAATACAAATCATAATTAATTCAATTAATAATTAAACATTTGTTTTACGTAATTATCATTATTTAATACGCATATTTTATTTATTATATTTTTATTTATTGCAGTTTTTTTTCATTATTCAAATACCACTTAAAATTATGGTATCTTCTCGGAAAGAGATGCATAATCGCCAAACTTATTATACAAACCAATTTTTTATACAAAAAATTACAAAGTGATAAGTTTATAATTGTACCTTTTTTAATAAAGCATTGAAAGAAAGGTAAACAGTTAAATCACTGGTCGGGACATGAAAGAAATCAAAGAAATCAATAATATTATATTTGAACATTAAAACGTGTTATTGAGGCACTACGCCGCAAATTTATTTCTATAAAGGAATACGTCAATCATGTTAGAAACAATGGGGATTCACCGCACAATGCCACATGCCAAGCCACATTGTCTGATTGTCGCTCTAAATGGAGTATTTATAGTATTTATCTAGGATTGTATAAAAGAACATGTCATAATTGGTATTCTTCTGGGATTATTTGAGCCCTAATGCTCAAAAGGTTAATTAACAATTGCCACATGTTATTTTAACAAGCCACTAGTAGACAATATTACAATAAAAATAATTACAATGTCTTCGGAAAAATCAAAATCTTTATTATTTTATTCTTGTATTACATTTAAATTACTATAGAATTTCAAGATTTTTACTAAATTAAGCGAACTTATTATAAATCTTCATAATGTGGCAGATTTTCATTGTTTTTGAAACATAACTGTTTTTTTTTATTCTTTTTTAAGAACCTCATTATAATGCATTGGAAGGTATTTTACTTTATAAAGAAATGTGAAGTTACAAACATTAAAGAATAATGCATTCTAACAAACTATTTTAATAATTGCATACCTTATTTAATATCAACAATAGCAGATATTATTCTTGTGAAATTTATATTTTTGCCATTATTTATGTAAAGAAAAACTAGTTCGTAAACTTGAAAAAAATAATAAATTCATAGATTCATAAATTCATGCGGTTTCTTTTTTCTCATTTTTGAACCTGAACATTTAAAACACAAGATTATAAGTAATAGTTGATTACTGTACAGATAAAGATAAATTCATAATTTATCCGTTCTTTGCTAAATATAATCATTGTTATAAGAACATTATTCTTTATACAAATTATATTTGTAAGCAAAAATGTAACAAAGACATTTTCTCAAGAGAATTTATACAAAGAACATTTATCATAATTTTGCATGATTATTAATAATTAATTTGTTTTTATCTCTCTTTATTCTTTTGATATTTAGTTCGTTTAAGATTATGTTACACGATTTTCTGTTTTGCTACTCCCAATAAACCTAAAAAATGTAGATTTCTATTTACGGAAATATTACGTTCAAAATAGCATTCATTGTTCAGTCAATAGAAATATAATAATCGTGAAGAGGAAAACAAATATTTAAATTTATAAAGACCTTGGAATCGAGAAAATAAAAATAAAGCAATTTTTAAAACAGAAATACAGAAATAATTGTTATTAATAACTATCAATAATTTTATAATTAACTATTTACACAAATAAATAATCATATTTGTGAAGGAAATGGTTAAAAAAAAAAATAAGAAATAATGGAGTTATAGAGTGCATTGTTTTTATTCATCATAGAAGAAATTTTCCTAAAAAAATCAGAAGCATAAATTTCCTATTTTCTTAATTTGTTTAGTAATAATATATGCGATATGATAAAACTATAGAACCTAAATAATAATAAACAATATAGATCCTTACAATATGTCTAGTGAAAGAAGACAAGGGAATTGAATTTATTTATGTCGGGGATCAAATTTGGAATTTCTAATTTATTTAATTTATTTCACTTTTCTTATTTTAATAAAGAACAAATATTAATTTAGAAATCATGAATAAACGATAAAATATTTTTATATTTTATTTACACTTTTTTAATCACAGCACAGCATATACTCAATAGTATGTTCAATATTATATAATAATAGTATATTCAATAGTATATTCAAAATAGTATATTCGATAGTATGTTCAATAGTATATTTATTAATATATTTATCGAAGAGGTAGTAGTAAATAAAATGATTTGTTACGCGATTTTGGAATAGAACAAATAAATGAAATAAATGAACATTTCTTTCTAATAGATTAAAAACAATATAGATAACATTTTAATATCCATTTATCGGAATCAATAAAGCCATAATACCGTAAATGCCGTACGGGCAGCAATAAATTATAAACAGAATAACTTTTATAATGTATGACAATGAATTCATTATTTTTTCCCCTTTTTCCTCCTTTCTTGCAGGCTTACTCATTTATTCATTTACAAATTCCGATTTATCATTACAAAATGTGGAATTTTTGTTTTTAGGTGTACAGGATAAACTATGTATATTCAATACAACAATAAACTCTAAACTCAAGCGAATTCAATAAATTCAATGCTTCCGTAATCCTTATTGCATATTAAATATCTAAGCCTTATCAGTGAATTTATATCCTTTACTATAAAATTATATATTTACCATTTTTAGACTTGATTGCCTGATCAATGACTTCATAAATTTATATGCGCAGTGGCGATATTTTTTACACGCAACGCATTAAAGTTAATTTCCCTAAAAGTATTTCAAATAAATTTATTATTTATAAATAAAATAATATAAATAATGCAAAAAGGATAAATTTTAATAATTCCGTGATCGTTGTATGTGTCGTACATTTGGTCTAATGACTTCATTGACTAGTGAATTTTAAGTAGATACAACAACATTTTTCATTGACTAGATTTAATCTTTTGATCATTTAAACATTTTTACTCCTTCTTTCGTTTTTATCATTATCATTCATCATAATCATCATAATGAATATTAATAATCATTGATATTGTAACATTTACGCGCTCATTCACTTTTTACTTAATTAATTATCTTTTTATAATTATTAATTTAAAAAAAAATCATAATATAGATCAAGTCATAAAATATCTCAAGATAATTTGTATCTCATTTGACCATTCGTGCATTCAGAAACTAATCCTGTTTATTCGTGTTGTTGTTATCAATGTTTTTGCAAATTTTCTCTCATACACGAATTAATCTCATCTAAAAAAAAGATTTAATTAATCTTTTTTGATCAAACAAGAAAAAATAAATAGAACATATTAGAAAAAAAAACTACCCGTTCTTGATTTCAAAATCCGGTAATTTCCGAAATTAACTTCTTTAAGATACATTTTATTTAACTATACTTTTTTTTTAATTGTTTTAGGGATTAAGTTAGAATAAATTAAAGTTTAATAATATAATAAAAGATTGTTATATGATAAAAGATATATAAACTATTGAATTTTATAGTTTGTCATTAAATAATTGATAATCAGTTGCACAAATAATATGCCATAAAATTTTTGATATTATGTAAAATATATTTAATTCTCAATCAACGCGTAAATTTTCAATTCACTGAATCATTTTTCTGTTTTTTTTTTTTTTTTTTCTTTTACAGTATTTTGCCTACTTGCATGATGAGTATGATGAGTGGATTTTGAATTGGTAATAATATTTAGTGTAATAAAACGTTTACTCAGAGAAGATTTCAGAAAAGAAAAGACATTTTTGTTAACGCGTGTTAATTCTTTAACACATTATCTTTTATTTATTTTCATATGCATGAATGATAATCCTTAATGATTGCTATAATTATTTTAGAATTAATTTATCGTTCATCTAACTATTAAATTTTTTTCATGGTTCTTGTTTCTCTTTTTTGGTAAAAATATATATGTGTTTCTCCAAGTATTTCGAATTAGAGAAACGCGTATTTAATGCATGCATACGAAAGTACAAAAATAGATTATTATTCGTAATACTATTTAAGTACTCCTTGAACTTTATTAATTATTAAAAATCAAAATAAATAAACTACGCGTTTTTTTTTAAATAAATTATAATAGAATTGATAAAATTCACTTACTTTAAATCGTAAATAGTTGGAACTTTATGTTCAAAAAAATTTTTCAACTGTATATATTGTATATAAACTTGTGTGTGTAAAAAAAGAACAGACCAATTAAAGTTACTTTCAAACTCGGGATTAATTAAAGTTACTTTCAAACTCGGGATTAATTAAAGACATGATCTCATATATCTCATATATCTCTTATATCTCTTATATTGTGATATTCTATAAAAGAAAGAAACTGTGATATCTTGGATTTTTTTTCTTAGAACTCAAATTTGACGCTTTTATTTTCGAGGGTTAAACCTCCCATGAAAAATTGATCAATGTTATTTTAATCTTCTAATTTAGCGATCTAATTTAGTAATCTAATTGGCGATCTAATTGGCGATCTAAAAAAATTTTTTTAATCCAAAAAAAAAAAGATCGAATTCACAATTTCTAAAATGTCTCGATTTTTCAAAGGTAGTTCTGATAGTGAATCAGAGGACGATGAAATTACTTCTTCAGATGAAGAAGAATTAGATGTGGAAACCCATGAAGTTCCTTCTGGAGCTCGAAGAAGATTTCTTAAGGGTGCTGGTGGTATAGAATCTGATGAATCCGATGAAGACGACACAAAACGTGAAGTCAGATCAGCTAAGGATAAAAGGATATTAGCATTAGAAATTTCTGCAAAAACTATTGAAAATGCACAAAAGATCAATGATTGGGTTGCTATTCAAAATGGTACATCCCTTGATCTAATTATTTTTTTTGTTAATTTTATTAATTGATTTATTATGTCATTTTTTCTTATGTAAAATAATAAAAAATAAGCATGAAATAATAAAAAATTATCACAAAGATTATCACAAAATTAACATTTAATAATTCTTTATTATATTATAGAATTTGATAAATTGAATAAGATATTGACCAAAGGATCTATTGGGTCAATTGCTGTGCCACGATTTTATATAAAAACTGTTGCAATGCTTGAAGATTTTCTTAATGAATCTTTAATAAAGGAAAAAGAATCAAAGAAAAAAATGAATGCAATGAATGCTAGAGCATTAAATACAATGAAACAAAAGATCAAAAAGAATAATCGATTATATGAAGTAGAAATAGAAAAATGGCGATTGGTAGGAAATAAAATAATTACCTAATTAATTAAATTTTAATTTTTATTAAATATAATATATGTATAATTGGCTCATAAATAATAATAGAATCCAGAAGAGAACGACGAAGAGACTCCAACCGAGGTTGTTAAAAAGAAAAAGGTGGACCTTGATGATTTTGATGAGACATTGGCAGATGAAGAGTTTGAAAAAGAAGATGCAGAAGGAGATTTTATTACTGTTAGTAAATATAATAAGCCGATAGAATATACTTCTGAAAATTTATTTAAAAAATTAAGAGAAGTGATGGAAGCAAGAGGAAAAAAGGTATTTTCTTAGAAATATTGTCTTGAAAATATTTAGTTTACCAAATGATGCAATAATGACAATTTTATTATTATTATTATTATTAAAAGAATACGGATCGTTTAGAACAAATAAAAATTCTTCAAAAATTACTAGAAGTTGCGATAACACCATATCAACAAATTCGAGTTTTACTTGCTTTAATACCAGCCCAATTTGATTATAATCCAAGTATGAGTAATTATATGAATGTTGATATGTGGAAAAGGTTTTGTTTTTATTAAAAATTATTATTATTGCTCTTTCTTATAATGATCTAAAAGGGTACATATAATTTATAATTTTTATTTTATTTTAAAAAAAAAAACGAATATTTTATTATTATTTTGATCAAAAGTACTCTAAAGGAAATTAATCAACTTTTAATGATTCTTGAAACAAACCCAAAGTATATAATTCACGAAAGTGCTGAAGAGGAATTATTAGATAAAGAACCGATAATTGAAGTTGATCAAACTCCATTTGCGATACGAGGATCGTTTGTTTCATTCATCGATCGATTAGATGATGAATTCACAAAATCTTTACAAAATATTGATCCACACACAACTGATTATGTGGATAGATTAAAAGATGAGACTGAATTATATGCTACAATTGTTAGAGGTCAAATCTATTTTGAAAAGAATCTGTTGAACGAGAGTACAAGTAGGGTTGTCATGAGAAGATTAGAACATTTGTACTATAAGGTTTTTATTTTTCATATTTGATTCGACAATTTTTTATTTTATCATTTTTATTTATCTTTTTTAATTATTTTATTTTATAAGCCCGATCAAGTTATACAAACAGTTGAAAATTCTGTTAAACAAATATTTCCGGAAAGTTCAAAATCTACTATAACGCCTGCATCCTCGGAGGTTGATTCCACAGAATTGATTCATTCTCTTTGCGTTTATTTATATAAGAAAGGAGAATCTCTTCACCGTACTCGTGCAATGCTTTGTCATATTTATCATCATGCATTACACAATCGTTTTTATGTTGCTAGAGACATGCTCCTGATGTCTCATTTGCAAGATAATATTCATCAAAGTGATGTGGGAACTCAAATTTTACATAATCGTACCATGGTACAAGTTGGTCTTTGTGCATTTCGAGATGGAATGATTAAAGAAGCACAAAGTTGTTTACAAGATATTTGCGGTACGGGTCGAGTTAAAGAGTTATTAGCCCAGGTATTTAATTCTAATCATAAATAAATATTTTATTATTTTTATTATTGAATAAGTTCATACTATTTTTTTTTTCGTAGGGTTTACAATTACAAAAATACGCACAACATCCACCCGAGCAGGAAAAATTGGATCGTCAACGTCAATTACCATTTCACATGCATATCAATTTGGAATTGTTGGAATGTGCTTATTTGACTTGTTCGATGCTTTTAGAAATCCCAAGTATGGCAGCAGCAGGTTCTAATCCCGAAGCTCGTAAGAAAATAATTTCTAAGCCATTTAGGAGAATGTTAGATTTTAATGAAAGACAAGTCTTTAGTGGTAAGCAATAATAATATTAATAATTAATAATTAATATTAACAACAATAATAATATTTAATAATATTTTTAAATTTATTCAGGCCCACCGGAAAATACTAGAGATCATATTATGGGAGCGGCCAAAGCGCTGGCCGCAGGGGAATGGCAAAGATGTCAAGAACTTATCAGTGCCATTAAAATTTGGGATTTAATGCCAAATACCCAAAATATAAAGGATATGTTAAATCGAAAGATTCAGGAAGAAGGTCTACGCACTTATCTTTTCACATATTCCTCTCATTACGTTACGTTAGGACTTGATCAATTAGCAAACATGTTCTCATTACCAGTGAATTCAGTTACATCCATTATTTCAAAAATGATTTGGAATGAAGAATTGGCGGCATCATTGGATCAAGTAGATAATAATGTTGTATTGCATCGCGTAGAACCTACTAAAGTACAACAATTGGCTTTATCGTTTGCTGAAAAAGCTGCATCATTTGTTGAAGCGAACGAGAGAACTTTGGAACAAAAACAGACATCAGGACAAAATCAAAGAGATCAGCAAAGACAAAAAGGTAACATTAACTTTAAATTATATAATATTAATGAATAATTAATATATAAATATATATAATTAATGTATAATTTAAATGTGTCAATTCATGATCAGGTCAATCTAATCAACAACATCAAAACACCGAGAAGAGAACTACTCATCATCAAAAGAATAATCAGCAACGAGTTCGAAATAATTTCAATAATGTATTGGGTAATAGTGTAAAAGGCAGAACACAACAAAATCGTTATCGAGCTTAAAAGAGAAATAATCTTTTTTTTATTCCAAATTAAAAATATGATTTAACATTGGTAAATTATTAAATATTTTAATTAGTTATTCATTATAAGTCATGTGAAATTATTTATATATATTTAATGTGGCACAGTAGACCAAGATTGTAAATTCTTTTTAATTCAATTTTCATTTTAAATATTTTCAAAAATTTATTTTGAACATTTAAAATTTTGTATGAACAATTTATAAATTTTGATCACAAAACTAACTTTAGATTTCAAAGATTTTCAAAATAACGGGAGATTTTCAAAGTAACGGGTTAAATTAACCATACCATATTAAGTTAATGTGATGAAAATCCAATAATAATTGTCTGACGCGCGTGTTCTTGTTATTATTCTTTTAATTAAAAAATTTATTAATGATATCCCTCAAATTTTATTATTTTAAAAAAATATACGGAAAAAATCTATGAGAAGTTTTCCGCGCTTTCTCTAAAAGCTGATAACACTAATCAATTTCTTCTTAAATAGATTTCGATGATTAAAAATTTCATTCATTGTAATGTAAAATTTATCTTTTTTAATAGCATATATTCATATATTCAGCAATCTTGGCATATATTCAGGGATGATCAACGAAATTAGTCTTTAATCATTTATAGTTTTAAATTTTGATTAAGAACGAAAGTTGAATGACTTAACTTACTAGGCAAAATTATAATTAGAATAAAAATTCTATGAAATTTTAGAATCAAGAATTTTTAATTATTAATGATCTTCATTACGAAATCACATATTTTATTAATGGTAATCTTAATGTTTTATTTTTTTTTTTATATATAAAAGTTTAAAGAAGGCAAAGATAATAAATATAATATATATAAAATATAATAAATAATATAAATGTAAATATAATAACTATAATAAAAATAAACTAAAATTAATAGAAGTGATAGAATATTTACAGGATAAATAAAATAAAGAAATTTATCACCATTAGCGAACAAAAGTAATTAAATTCGGTTATATATTTAGATATATATAAATATATTTAAATTATTTCACGCGATTTATTGATTTATTTAAAATATATGTATGTATTTATTTCTCAATACAATTACAATTTAGTTATTTGATTTTGTTTTGTTGTTACAGATTATAAAAAAAAAAAAAATTTTCAATATTTGAAGTAATAAATTGTAATTTTAATAACTATCGCAATAGTTTTTGTGGCATTTGCAATAGTTGTTTTATTGTTTTTGTTGCAATAGTTATGGTTGTAATATTTTATTTATGGGTGATAAGATATTATCACTTTAAATTTGATGAACATTATATTATTTATATTTAAATTTTATAAATACAGTAAAAAATATATACATTAATTTTAAAAACGAAAGAATAAGCCATTTTTTTTATTTATGAGAAAAAAAATTTTTTAAACAATAAAAATTTTTTATAATATATTAAATTATTGTAAATTATTGTAAATTATTTAAATTATTGTAAATCAAAAAAGACAATACAGTTTATGTAGTTTATATAAATAAATAAAATATAACATGCATATAATTCAAATATGGGAATATATGTTTATAAAAGGAGCACAAAATTTTTCAAGAATTCAAGAAAAAAAATTTTTTTTTCAAACTTTCATTAATAGTATAATATATTATATATTATATTCTAAAAAAAATTTTACATACAAAGGTCCAAATTTATAACCCCAAAATTATAACATTCATTCTTTAGATCTTTTGTTATAAATATCAATTGAATTCGACCGTATTTCCGTTTTTTTTGTTTCCTTGTCTCGAGACAACAAAACTTATTCTCTTGTACCAAAACAAAAATTTTTTATTTTCCCACAATTCCCCTAGCATTTATCCTTAGTAGGGCCTTCTTATTTAGCTTTTTTTTCTTTTTTTCTTGTATTTATAATTTATTTTATTTGTCTATTTTTTTTTTTAAAAAAAAAAGAAAAAACCCTTTGTTTACTGTTGTCATCGACTGACTGAATAGCCAAACCATCGGTTAAACTAACAAAAAATTTTTAAAATTAAATCTTTGTACATATATACATATTATACATATAAAATATGAATATAAAAATGAATGATATTAAAACGCAAAATTTTCCTTACATGCGCAACGCTTCGCCAAAGACCGGTATTACGTCAAACAAAAGCTCTGAAACAACGGCGAAAGCTCCAACTCTTCAAATTATTCCTCACGATGAGATTATCAGTCTATTCGAACAACGAAAGGGGGCCCAATACTTCATTCCTGAAGGTTTCGAACCTGTCTTAATCCCAAGTAATTCTTCATTACCTAATCTTCTACAAAACGATAAAGGCGTACAACAACAGCTTCTTGCACATCATAAACAGCTAAAACTTATTAACCAAAATATGTTGGCGCCGGTCGCTAATAAATCCATAATCCCTAATAATATTAATAATATCCCAATTATAAATAATAATAATACTAATAATAATAATAATAATAATAATAATAATAATAATAATAATAATAATTCGACATCAGATGTAAGATTTCCATCATTAGTTTTAGCTCGTCCTTCAGCACCTACTCCGCGGGGCGGAATAGTTACTAAAGCTGTTAAGCCCAAGAAACCACCAAGACCACCAAATGCCTTTATTCTTTATCGAAGGTCCAAACAGCCCGGAATAGTGGCAGCCAATGAAGGTATTACAAACAATGAAGTATCTAAGCAAGTTGGGGAAATGTGGCATAAAGAGCCGCTTGAAGAGAAAATGAGGTTCCAACGTATGGCCGATGAAGCTAAACTCCAGCACATGGAGAAATATCCCGAATATAAATATCGACCAAGACGGCCTCATGAAAAAAGAAGAAGAAACAAAAGACAAAATACCGGCCTTGGAAACAGTAACGTTATGCCCAATAATAACAACACGACCATTAATAATAAGCCTACCACGAGTGTCATCAATAATACAAGTTCTCCTCTTATTAGTTCAAGTCCTATAATTAGTAACGTAAACATAAATAACATAAATGAACTTCTACTTCTTGATCGCCGTGCATCGGTTGATACAATTGATACTATAAGTACTTCAGATTATGTTGACGAATCTCGTAGAAATTCACTTTTATCTATAAATGAACAATTTGAAGAATTTGAATTACCAATATTTGAAAATACCGTTTCCCCAATAATTGATGATAATTGTCAATATCAATTCCAACCATCAACGACGCCGCCTTCTTCTTCAGAGTCCCCGGATACATATAATGATTATAATAATGTTTGTGTCGAGACCACTGGTACCAATTCTTTAGACCTTTTTATGGAGGGTGTTTCACCTGGATCGGAATCAGAAGTTAACCCTTTTGATTATTTTTTCACACCACCCAATGAACCTTATAACTTTATTCCATTTGGGGAATTTGATTTAAGTAACTTGATGTCTTCCCCAAATATTGGAATTGAAATGGTTGCTAACATGGAATAAATCTTATTTTCTTGGTAAATCTCTTTTTTATTAATATTTATATAGATCTAACATTTATAGCCCATGTCAAGATTTCATTCCAGAAAGTTAAAACAGCTATTGGGTGGTTAACTTCCTTTTTTTTTTTATTATTTTCTTTTTATACATATATTATCCAAAAATTTAACCCTTACAATTTGCACGGACATTTTTCTTTATATTCTTTTTTATTTTCTGAGTACGTTTTTTTAAAAAAAATTTTTATTGTATTTTCTTTACATTATATATATATTTATTTTTATTTTTCTTGGTTTTTGAGTTTGTGGGAATTAATTTTTTTGTTCAAAAAAAAATATATATATATATATAATTTCTTTTTTTTTTCAACAATGAAAATTGTCCATGTATTTATCGTAGGTTTCTTACTTTTTTTTTTCTTTAGTTATATTTTAGTTTTTATTTACTTTTTTTTTCTCGCTTTTTTTTTAAAAGTGTAGAAATCAAAAAATCAAATGTACATATAGTTTTTGTAAAAAAAAAAAAATTCCAAAAAATTCTTTATCGAAATTTCTTTTTTGAATTTTATTTTTATCCCCCTTTTTTTTTCTTCTATTCTTTCCAATGTGTAAACTACTCTCCTATTTTTTTTTGTGAAAAATTTTTTGTTCATATTTTATTCTTTGAACAAACAATAAAAATCTCTATGAACTTTATCTTTATATATTTTATTATTATTTTATTTATAATTATATTTATTGGTTATACATATATACATACACATTTGTTTAATATATGTTTAATTAGATACTATTAGTCATTATTATTTTATGGTTTCTTGAACAATGTAATATAAAACTCTGAAAATACAAGAAATTATTAAAAATAAAAAAAATATTTACTCCAAACTTTTTCAAATGACGTAAGATGAAATTTTTTTATTGTCATACTATGATAGTTATGCTAGTTATGATAGCATATGCTAGAAGTAATGATACGCATAATAATAAAATAATAAAATAAATAATTAAATATCATCTTACATATTCTACATAATGAAATTAATCTTTAATTTAATCATTTTGGTAACCTATTTTCTTATTTATTTAGTTTATTTATAGTTCATATTTATTTATAGTTCATAGTGCGAAGTATGTATTCTCATCATTGAAATCTTTGAACCTTATATAAGAAAGCAAAGGTGTTGTTGATGTTCTCCTCATAATAAATCTACACACATATCACTCGCATTTACACAAATTTACAAACATTTGTACATTTACACATTTATACTTTTAAATCATTTGAATCATTTAATAATTTTAATGAATATATGCATTCATTCACCAAAAAGTTCATATTTTCATGGAGAAGTTCTGTACGTGATCACTTACTCGCGCCAACTTGCATTAAATCTGTAAATATTTAGATATTTGATGTCAATTTGAAAACGTATATTATAACTTTAAGGTTATTTTAATAATAATAATAATAAATAATTACTATTAATTATTAATTATTAATTATTAATTATTAATTATTAATTATTTTTTAAATATTTTAATTCTTTCAAAAATAATAATGGAATATATTATGATACTCTTTCCTCTTTCATCTTTACTTCTTTTTCTCGAAATAATAGAATAATAAATGATATCTTCTTCAGAAAAAAAAAAGCAATCAATTAATCATATACAGTATTTCTTTCGATGTGATTCGATGTGGAGTCCATTGTATCGTACTTGTGCATATGACATTACGAATTTATGTATAATTAACTGCATAATACAGCAGCATATAATAAATAACATTAAGCCTAAATTATATAAAAGGAATTCCTCAGACAGATATGAATATTATAATTACTATGCAGTTTCAAACTTTATTCATAAAACTATCTCCGTGTTTTTCTATTATTTATAAAATACATGGCGCTAAATTACTTTATCATTTAATTTAATATATAATATACAGTTATTTTTATGCCATTTTTGTTAATAAAATTAATAAGAACGGTAAAGAGCATCGTGAGAAAAAAAAATAAGAGTAAATTCACAGCCACATAATTCGATAACCTAAAGAGAAAGAGATAAATAGATGATGGGAAAAGAAACTAAAAAAATTAAAATTAAAATTTAAAACTCCCTGAATGCTACGCCATAAAAATCTGTACGGTAACGCGTCTAGTAAGTAATCCTCATTATAATAATTCTCATATATAGTAATCTTAAGTAATCGCACGGGATGATTCTCAACGATTAGACGCCATATCAAAGATTACAAAGAAACTATATTAGTACTTATGAAAAATAAATTTATTCAAATAAACTGCTTACCTCATCATTTATTAAAAATTTTCACTAGCATTAACAATTATACAAGAATTAATAATTATATTTACTAGTATTAAATTATGATCATATACGCCATAAATGTTATATAATCTGTTTTGGTGTAACTAGATTTTCAAAAAAAAACCCTTGCTTTAAGAATAGTTAAGATTCGGCCGTTATTCCGGCCGTAAATTCGGGGTAGATCACTAATATTAAACATATAAGAATGTTTAAATTTAAGGTTATAAAAAAAAACCACCACTTAACGAACGAAAAACATAGAAGTAGCCATTTTAAGTAACTATTTTTTTTGTATAACATATTATTTGTATTATAAATTGATATAATTAATATAGGTTATATGATTATTATAATGATTTTTAACTATTTAAAATATTAAAGAATTAATTGATTTTATTCCATTTATTTATTTCAAATAATAATTCCTATTCATTTAGAATTTCTTTTAGAACGAACTATTAATCGAATCATTATTTTATATTTGGTAAATCAGAATAAATTACTAAATTATAAACTATAATCATTTAGGAAATAAATTATTATAATCCGCGTGATTAATATAACGAATTAACAATTTTCTCTAAATTGATAATAAAAAATATAATAAATTATATCAAAAATGCTGCGAGATAATGCGAGATATAACAATAGGGTAGAATAAGCAATTGTGCTTCTTTGTATTAGTTACATATTACTTGTGCTATGAAGTTCTATTATAAAAATTCATTTTGGATTTTTTTTTTTTAACTTTAGAAAGTTGGTTGATTATGTAGATAAAAGAAAATCGGATGACGTTATCATACGTTTATTATATTATATAATTTATGAACTTAATTATACCCAATGAGATCGTCTGTTTTTTATTACTTTTTATATATCAAGATATTTACAAGACAAATAACCAGTTTTGATCTGGTTTTAAAAAAATTTATTATAAATTTGTTTAGCAATATTTATAATAATATTAATTAATATAACATTGCAATTTCTACTATGAATTTTTTCTTCTGATAAACAAGAATGTGAAATATCCAGCGTTTCAATTTTTATAACAATTCTTTTTATTCTTTTTAATTCTTTTAATTCTTTTTACGCGTCAGAAACTAATATGATAAAAATTATTTCATTGATGAAGAAATACAGTCACTATCCTATTTCTTTAAATATAATAAGTTATTTTGCGATTTATTAAATAAAAGGCCAGTAATTGAGTCAAGAACTTTGAATTTATATTTATCGTCACTTTATCATCAAATTCATCAACTTGCATGTGTGCAATGAAAAAAAAAGTAAAATAACGAGTAAAGAAATAATGAATGAATTTTATTTTTTTGTGTTATTTAGTTGATGTTAGTAGATAATTATTAACATTATTCGGAATAAACATTTATTAAATTTAGATTTATTTATTGTTTATTATTTATTATTTTTTTTATCGGAATTACGGAATTACAGAATTACAGAATTGAAAATTATCATAAAAAAAAAAAAAAATTCCAAATCCTAAAATCCTTTTAAAAAAAAATCTTGTTTAATTCCGTGAAATAAATATTTATTCATAGGTGAATAATATTTATTCACAGAGATAAATGACATATAGATTAAAAATCATTGTAATATCATTTTGTAGCATGATCTCGCGACACGATTAAATAGAAACGCGTGTGTAGTGTGTGTATGTACATAAATTTTTTTATAGAAATAAAGGACGCCAATAAAAAAAATATATTAGGTTTAAATTCCCCTAAAACTTTGCCCCTTCTTTTCTTCTTTATCTTCTTCTCTTTTTGCCCCCAGAAAATAGATATAATATAATATATGATGTGTATATCTAATTTAAAAATTTGTTTAGAAATAATACAAGTCTTATAAGAAAGAAAAATTATAAACTATAATTCTTTAACGAATACATGTAATTTATGTAAATAATATTTTTTATTGATAATTTTATGATTAGCGTTTGTTTATCTGTTATACCAAAAAAATGCATGCAATTCCTAAATGATTAAATGCATAATACTTAAATGTCGAAGATTCTTCCAAATGTTCTGTTATATAACTAAATTCTAATATCTGGACTCATAATATTAAATGTATCAGCTGACTGTATATCAATATATCAAATGTGTCCATTATTATTATTTAAATCAATTAATCAAACCCAATTATAAATAATAATGAAATTTATACGCAGATTTTTTTTTTTTAACTGTGTATTTACCATATTTCGATATCTTTAAACTCAAATTTGGATTTCATTATATAATTATATAAATAGATTTAATAAATGCTATTATTATTATTCTTCAGATTCATTTACTTTTCACTTCTTTTTTCATTTTATTTTTATAATAAAGGTAAAAGATATATAAATATTACAATATGCGTAAATTCAGATTATTCAACACCCTGCATGAAAATAATGATACAAAATAAAATAAAAAAAGTATTCAAAGCAACTCTCTGCTTGTTCATCTTGTTCATCGATGATGATGATCACGTTTGTAATGTTGTGCATAAAATTTTTTTCTGTTTTGCTTTCACGATTTACCTCGTTTGTATATATTCGTTGCATGCTCATATTATTATATGATGATTTGTTTATATTATCTGTGATTTATTAAATAATAAATAAACATTGAATATTCAATAATAAAAAAATATTAAATA